GCCCATGCGCGACTTAGAAAGAGAAGCTAGCTCGAAATGGCTCTAATCAGCACAATCTCCAAATCATCCATCGTGCACACCCTTTATGTCATTAGTATCGCCCAAATCGGAGTAGGCTTGAGCCCATATACTCGGAGGCGGCTGTACGAGGTAGAGCAAGATGTAGTATCGTCACACAACAACGCCCGTCGAGACAGTCGGACTGCACTATGAAGTATATTGCGAACGTACAAGGTTCGAAATGGAAAAAGCCCAGATATATGAACGCTGTCCCAAGTCTCACAGCAGCCCGGTCTTGCAGAGCTGCCGTTCTCCACGCTCGGCGCCGGCTTTTCTTGCCCGTCACACAATGACTGGATCTGTGCTAGGCCTAAGAACACAAGGTGACCTTGCAGCTCTAATTAGGAAAGACTGAATCTCTCCATCATGGACGCTCGATTTAGACCTTGAGCCACCTGGGTCCTTTAGCTAACGGACGTAGTCGATCCATGGCCCGGATGCAACATACTTTGCTAACTAACACCTTGAACAATGGATTAACATTAACTTCGTGAACCATCGACTCCCGCCGAGTGGCGGGTCTGTTCTTTGTTACGCATATTTATTGGGTTATGTACTTGCTCTTAACGCCATTGACAGATACGTACGTCAGGTAAAGACCCTATCAATCTCATCGTCAAAAAACATTTGAAGATAACCAACGACGATCGCGATACCGCCACTTCCTGGTGAAACCCAATATATATCGTTGGCAAACCCCCACTTCTATCCCTACATTCCTAGAGACATGCAGTGGACGCATGCGGAGCAGTTGATTGATACAGATATGCGGAGGAGAACATCATTCATTGGGACAAGAAGGCATTAAGAATGGCAGAGTAGACATATCCAATCGCATCTCCAGCCTATTGCACTTCGACTCAATCTCTGAGCGAGAGCGAGTTCAGAATGTTCCTCCCTTGATGCAACATCAGAACCGAATTGTCTCCACTAAGACAACAAAGGACAAGAATAGCTCTGGCCAAGAGTTAGATTCTGGTAGCTTACTACCGTCGATGAGTTAGAGGCGTACGCATATCATGTCCCTATCCTATCGTTATTCTGAGTATGGTAATTCCAGGAACTACCATCCATGATCTGCGTAGAAAAGACAGGCATATGCCGTATCAAAAGCACGTGTAAGTTGTATATACCCACGCGTCACAAGCAAAAACCAAGAGCCACAGTTTCCTATTTAATATAATGAGCATGCTTGACGTTGCCCTGAGAGTTGCGCCTCCGGGGCCACGCGTTGCACAGACCCGCTTCTGAAGTGGCTATATCCTAGCTTTAAATCTATCAGCTCTTTTAAAGCTATGCAGACCGATTTGGCTCACAATTGTAGAATTGGCAACTACATTTGTATATGGGAATACATAGCAGTGCTTGATTCATCCTGTATACCATGGCGCGCAGATCTATAATGTAGAGCGGGCCTGATCCAAATCCCGAAAATAAGGAAAGTTCTCTTAGTTTGGATGTAACAATGAAGACTGGAAGTACCATGTTACTCCGAGAGGCTGCGCTCATGGACTTGGTAAGATACTGCTGGCACAGCGATTTTGAGCTAGGTTAAGTTTGACCCACTACTTCGTAGTATGTGACGAATATTTAATTCAAAGGCGCTTATGCGATATTCATCGTCTGAGATATCCCTTCTGTTGTACGGTGTATATTCTAGTAAGCCCAGCAACTAGCCTAGTTGCAGCTGTATGCTAGATACCCGGAGATGAGACCTTACTAGGGAATTGATAAGCACACTCTCAAAGCCCGGTCACGTACATGCATTAGCATGCATTAGCATGAATTAGATTTGCTATTTCTTTTAGGCTGCAATAACACCAGCACTAGTACTAGCCGGAAGTGCTCGGCGTAGAGAACTCGTGACTCGGAGATCGAGTAAGATCTGCAGGGTATGAAACCCGCTAAGCCTAAAAGAGGGGTGTTTGGAAGACCCATCCGGTGTGGTGCAGGAGTTCCTACTGGGCGTGCAGTGTCTGAGGGAGTTAGTTACACGATTAGTTTAGTAAGAGTTTGCGTGTACATCGTGGATGTTGGATCTACTAGTAAGCACATTAGGACCGTCTTTGCAATATGTAAGTACAGTGTTTTGAGCAGGAGTGTATCGAATACGGTTGTCAGAGAGAACCAAGAAGAAGCATGTATTCTAGAGACCTGAACTACCCAATGTTTCCCGGGGATAGCATCACTAGCAAATGCGACACTCGGGAAGACGGTCTTGCTTTCCTTCGCCTGCAAGAATGGCTCAATGAAGCCTTTCAAGGAAAACGTTTCATAATCGAACTCATCCATGACGCCTGAATAAGAACTGGAGGGAGAGAAAAAAGGTGGAGACCTACACATCCTGAAACAGCCAGGTCGATATGGTAGGAGTCAATGTCATTGTAGTACAATGTCTTCTATGTCCAAGGAGCACTTGCCTTGTTTCAAGAAAGAAGGAAGGGAAGAGAGACCCAGAGATGCTGGTAGGACAACCGGGCCGGATCCGGATCCGAACCACGGTACGGAGTAGGGTAAGAGTCTATCCCGAGATGCTCCATCGACGACAATAATAGTACTCGTATATTGTACAGTTGTCAGTTTGAAGTGAGCGTGTCAGAAATATGCCCGAAACAGCGCACAGACCGAAGAAATTAGCTTGAGGTTTGAGTGGGCAGTTGTAATAGAATGGTAGCCGACAGATTTCCGCAGAACGGCCGGAACGTAAGAAGAGCCTCCTGAGCTGTCAATTCAAACCCGAAGGCTACAAATAACATACACAGAAGAGTCTATATCGTATATTAAGCATTTCCCCGACCTTTTTTGCTGTATAATACCCAAAATAGGCCAAGAATAGGGAGAAGATCTCTAAAAAGACCACCATCGAGCACTGGAGTCTCAATAAAAGGCCATTCTTGTCTATATCAACACAGAGTAACGGCTGGACTGATTTTGGTGTACAACTATATTGTAGCAAGGAGCGGACTTGATATCCAGTGCTAAAATGCAATAACCTTATGTTTTGAACCGAGGATGAAGGTGTGGGGTCGAGGTTATTTTGCCATGCAAATAGGGAAACTTTGCCGAACCCAATCCGTAAGAAACCGAGGTCCATCCGAGAGGCGTAAAACAACAAATCGCTCATCATGTTAACGGGGCCAGTAGGATGCTATTCTCGTTATTCCGGAGTACAGCATACGGAGTACTCGTATGGAGTATCGACTGGATCGCTTATGCTCGGTCTTCGCATGGATGATATTTGTTCCGGTTCGAGAGGCGATATTTTGTTTCGGATGTCCTTTGTTAGCCGTTTTACGAGTATGGCTGCAGCCATGAAACCTCTAGTTAACTAGCTGCGACCGTCAAAAGGCACGACTTGGAGCAGCCAATTGTCCGGCGAATTATTAGCTTGTAAAGCGGGTGTGCGAACTAGTCCGAGGCGCTAAAATATTGTGGACCTCACCAACGTGTGTGAGCGGGTACAGAACTTGCTTCCTAAGCGTCCTCAAGTGTCCAGCCCTTGACGAGAGATTCTAGACTTTGACTTTGGGCTTGGTGGCTGTAATGGCTTTAATTATGCTGGAATTAGTGGGGTTATCTGCGGCAGATCTGACCATCTCTTCCTTCTCATCAACGGTGTTGCATCTGCAAGTTTATTGTAGTCGCCTCCGTATGTTGTACTATTATTTAATTTACGGAGGACGACAGTTGACCGGAGAGAACTCCGTATTTTTCGTCCATGCTTGGCTTCCTATTTGATTCAAGGCGGGGCTGTTGTGAAATAGGAAGTATCGGCAGGGTAATAATTCCACTGCTTTATTCTGTTAAACTCAGCGGAGTTAATGCACTCCATCTTCGCGCGCCACCTTTTTGGTTTTGTCCACGGAAGGAGCTGGTGTAGGTTTCCAGCGGGGGTCTGGAGCATTACCTCCGTCGCACGGGCGGATGTTATGACCAAACAATTAGGGCCGTCTTCGGCGGATTCGAAAGATCGTCAGGAGGGGCATATTGAAGTGTAGTATTGTGGAATGCTTGGACTTGTCGGTGTGGATGTTCTAGCATTATGGGAGAAGACGGTGCTCGCACTTCTTATGTACACCATACTAGGATACCTAACGCAGTGGAATCTCTGGAGTTCCAAGGTTGCCGGGCTAGGGTTTGATGAGTCACCCAGCGAAACCGAGGAAACCAGTTCCTACCTATTGTAGGTAACTATGAAGAGAAGAATTAATCTGATTTTATCTAGCCATGTTGTATGTATGTTGTACGCTGAGAGAGAAGAAATCCGAAAGCAATTAATATACAAAACTGCAAACGGGCTCAGGATGAGGGGTTTCGGATTTCCAAGGAAAGTAATCCGTGGGGATCGTGAGTTTCCCCGTGCAACGCTTTCTATTTTATTCTCTTTTCCCTGGGATTAGGGCGAATAAGCAAGATAAGCTCCGCAGAAGGGTCTCCACCGAAAAATTTTCGAAGCATCAAATGATCAGGAAAACTGGGGCCACTGTGAGGGTCCGAATAGCCGCTACTCCGGGAATTTCTTTTGCCCCTTTTTAGCCTTGGATGATGAGGTGGGATGGAATGGTGATGTGAACAAAGGGAATAAATTGTGGAAAATATTCTAAAATGTAATTCTTCACGAATATCTAACTTCCTGGGGTAGAATAGTCTAAAGAGCACGTAGCCAAGTCTTAAACAAGAAGAAAAAAGACGAGACCCATCAGAGCCTGGAACTCAGGGAACCGGTTTCGTGATCTGGTGACACGGCAGACCCAGGGCGCTTGGACCAGGTTCCCCATTATTCTTCGAGGGTATAAGACTCGTTGCGCATTCCCACCTTTCCCTAGCCTTTCCCTTTGGAACTTCCCCCCAGGACTTCTACACATTCCATCTCTCTAAAAACATCTCGGGAATCATCTCTCTATCCTATAACCCGGTCTATGATCCCCAATTAAAACACAATGAATACTGCCACGCAAAGAACACCCAAGACCCCGAAACCAACCGCCTCCGTGCCAATTGTCCAAAATAAACGCTGGCCCCCCATGGCGAACCGAAACGCCCTTCCCTACAAGCTCACCCACATCTCGAAAGAGAAACTCGCCCGTGAAGCCACCGCACCAGACCCTGACCTGCGCCGTTGCGTGGCTCACTTCCGCCTGCACTGCGGGTCCGTCTCCTGGACCGAGAATGACATGAAGTCTCGGATCAGCTCTTTTGATTTCGAAGACACCGATGACGAAGACGATATGGAGGAGATCAACACCGAACTGCCGGTCCTGAAAAACAGAGCTCCGGCCAACGACAATACAGTCGAAGTCACCGAACAATTATCATACAAATCAGAGCCCGTCGCTATTGCGGCTACCCCGGCATCATCAACATCACCAGCGTCGCCTGAAAATCCCGAGCATGGTTTTTTGGAAAAGGGTCGCAATTGTCTTGAGGCGACCTCCAAACATCTATGGACAGGGGGATCTTGCATAGTTTCCCCAATCGCGGGTTAACCTCGCCGCCCCTTCCTACATTCTCGACTTGCCCACCTTTTTTCTCTCTTGATCCTTTGCGGCCGACACTACGATATTACGACTTGATGACCATAATGAACACACCAAAATAAACCATTTGTATATAACTTTACTTTTCGACAATATGTCATTCATAATTACCAAGGAACCTTTTTTTTTTTTGCTGGACAACCTGTTTTTCTTATTACACCATAAATATCGAATAACAACAGCCTTATGGCCTATGGCCCATTCAAACTCGGAACTATTTCCTCTTTCACTCTTCACTTCCCCAAACTCCTCACTCTCACTCCCCACATGAATCTATTCTTGGAGGTTCCCAACCCAGAAGGTCAAGCGAAGTGACTCACCTGCCGCGTCGCCCCAGGTCACATGACACATACCCGAGAAATGAAAAAAATAGAATCTGACGATCTCCAAGACGCCAAGCAATAATCGTCAATCCTGGAGAACTAACGCAGGCCCCAAACCCGAGAATTGGGGGCTGTGGAACTATGATTTTCGCCGTGGAATCCAAACCAGCCAGGAAGAATTCTGTATGGTGGAAAGTCGCAGATGCAGTGGCGAATCACCCGCCGATCGGCTCAGGTTTCATCATAGTCATGTCACATTCTCATATTGAACGGTCAACATACCCCGGCTTCAAATGACATCCCATTATATCCCTGCCATCGTTGACAAAAGCACCCGCCAATAAATTGGTCTCTATCAAACTAGTAGATTAATGGCCTGACCTGACGTCGCTATGATCCTCCCGATCGTTGTCTTGACTGAAATTGAGTTGCCAGAATGAAAACAAGAAACACAAACCCTTAGGCCTTGGCACACAAGTCACTTCAGAACGTCACTCACTTCCCCGGAACTTGGTCGCTGCTCGGCCGAAAGTACATCGAACTAAATCTGACACCCTTCTTGCATCGACATCGCGACAGCACACAGCGATCTCCAGGCCCGCAGAGCTACCGTGCACGCCCGACCAGCGGATCCGCCCGATTGGCTGGATCTATTTTCTCTATTCCCCGTAGCAAAAGTATTCCTTCGGTGAACTCTCGGCCCGCGAGCTCGAGCACGATCGACGTCAATGTTCAAACATCCCTGGTGTTGTTTATGGATGACGCTGGCTGGCTGGATGCCGAGGATGAACGTGCGGACAGCGGTTTCGTGGAAAGTGGGTAGGACAATGGGCCTAGTAGGGCCGATGTATATATTTGAGTTTGATAAGGGCCTTGTGTCGTGGTATCTAGATGCTTGAGTATCATATGTTGTTTCTTGGCTATCGGGTACTAACAACCTGAGAGTGTGTGATGATGGATTGATTCGGTCATTGAGAAGTGGCATGTTATCTAAATGTGTTGGATGGGCCATTTACCCGGATGTTTCTATCAATTTAGGATGTAATTGTGTTGGTCATATTGAAATAGCTAAATTGAATCAAGCATCACTGCCATAAAGGTCAAAGAGCAAGACCCCACTCGTTCAGTAGTAGGTTTGTCCCCTCATGGCCATTCGAGTCTCAGGCTGGAACATCCTCCGTGTCTCATGTCATGCCCCAGCGCCTTCGGAAGCTTCATAGCAGCCTCCACAGAGGCGATCTGGACGGTCCACTACCCACGGCTCAGATCTAAAACTATAACGACAGTCTACCTACGGTAGAGATCTAAATACCCCGCAGGCCCATCCCCGCAGTCTGTGACGAAAAAGGTCACTGTTCTAACCGAGATGACATTTCCAAGTGTTTACTGCGCCACAAAAGGTCTAGATCGCATGGATATAGTTGTATCTGGGGTAGTCTCTCGAAGGCCGCTGGCATATATACATATATAGTAAGGCACGGTTCGTTGCATAGGAAGTATCCTTATTCTACGACCACTCTGTCCTAGTTGAGAGATCAATTGTATCTGTATTCCCAATGTGCTGGTTGATGCCGAGCCTACAATGAAGTATGTAGTGTGTCGTTTGAACTTTACCGTCTTTGTATCGATAGTTCAAGTTAGACCTTTAGGTAGCATAGGAGTGTCTGAGCAAGCTAGCGATCAAATACCTCTCAAGTCTCAGTAGAAAGACTCTAGTCATAGCCAAACTATGAGGATTTACTGTTGCTGGTAAGTGTTAGAGACCAAAAACCCGCAGAAAGTGAGTCCAAATGCAATGCATGTCCATATGTGGCTTAGCTCGAAAATCAGTGAATGCCCGACACGCATCTTCCTGCCACTCCAACAACGTCCATCAAACCCCAACTAGCAAAGATCCCACCGATTCCGCAATTCAGTATGGAGAGAAAACTCTCATCGCCAATGGCACCCACATTCATGGTGTCCGCACCAGGAAAAGCCATTGTCTTCGGTGAACATGCCGCAGTGTATGGTAAACCCGCTATTGCGGCAGCTATTTCTCTCCGATCGTATCTCCTCGTCACTACTCTCTCCAAATCTCGACGTACCGTCCAACTGAATTTCAGGGACATTGGCTTAAACCATACGTGGGAAATTGACGCTCTGCCATGGAACGTCTTCCACCAACCTCCCAAAAGAAGGTCGTACTACTCTGTTGTCGAGTCTCTCGACTCGCAATTTCTCGAAGCTATTATGCCACACGCAGAGGCCGTGTCAAAAGACCTCCCAGAGAAGCAGCGAAAAATCCATATAAAATCCGCAACCGCCTTCCTTTACCTCTTCCTCTCCCTCAGCTCCTCGGCAAGCCCTGGGTTCATCTACACTCTTAGATCTACTATTCCAATCGGGGCCGGTCTAGGCAGCAGCGCTAGTGTTTGTGTCTGCTTAAGCGCAGCGCTACTCCTCCAGATACGCGCCCTTGCAGGACCCCACCCTGACCAGCCTCCCAAGGAAGCAGCGATACAGATCGAGCACATCAATCGCTGGGCATTCGTGGGCGAGATGTGTATACACGGAGACCCTAGCGGGGTAGATAATACGGTCTCGGCGGGTGGAAAGGCCGTGATGTTCCAAAGGAACGCCTCCGGACCACCATCCGTCATTCGTCTCACCAAGTTCCCGAAACTACGACTCCTTCTCGTCGACACGCAACAACAACGGTCCACCGGTGTGCAAGTAGAAAAGGTCAAAACACTCAGCACCAACCACCCTGAAATAACAGAGATAATCCTAGACGGCATTGGCAAAATTGCTACTTCTGCACTGGATCTGATGTCTTTGGCTGATGTTTCTGACTCTGACGCTCTCGGACACTGGGGGTCCTTGATTGGGATGAACCACGGGTTTTTGGTTTCGCTAGGAGTCTCGCATCCCCGTCTAGAGCGTATTCGTGAGCTTGTGGATTATGCGAATATTGGTTGGACGAAACTCACCGGTGCTGGAGGCGGTGGCTGTGCTATCACGCTGTTCCGACCAGATACCGAAGATAAAACCATTGAAGAACTGGAGCGGAAGTTCACTGCAGAAGGATTTCAAACATATGAGACTATCCTAGGTGCCGACGGAGTTGGGGTACTTTGGCCTGCGGTATTCCGAAATGGCACTGATGGGGAGGCCGAAGAGATTGATCAGAATACGTTCGAAAATGCCGATGGCGTTCACGGTATCGACCAGCTGGTTGGAGTGGGAGTGCAAGAAAATCGGGAAGGCTGGAAGTTTTGGACGCGAGATGTTTCTCCAAGATGAAACAGAGTCATGGTCGACCAGCTTTTACCTCTTGCAAGTGTATGGTAAGCTGGATTGGTGTTTCTCTTTATTTCGGGGTTCATTAATGACTGTCATTGGTCTCCCACATAGTGGTCGAGTCACCAAATTTGTAATTCAGGTCCATATGTACATAGAATAATTATAGAATACACAAAGTAAATAAAGGGCAGTAAGTCGTAGAGTCAGTATATCTAGTGCAACAGGAACCGCGTAGGTGTCTCTTGCGATTCGAGCTCCAACGAGACTGACTTTTTCCTCTTTCCAGGGCGATAGACGAGATTCTTCAATCCTTTATTGAAATTAAGGATACACGACACGGAGTTGGCGACGGTGAAAACCATCAAAAATAACGACAAAACTGCGAATAATGTTAGGGACACCCGGAAAGAGTTGAAATTAGTGCTCTCCGCGCCGCTGTAAATTCGAAGGAGGATGAGGATAAGGAATCCAATTATAACAATCATAAAGAACTAGATGACTGGTTAGTTGCCTGAATATTACCTCGCAATCGAGAATCCTTACCATCATCAGTATAAGCGATTTGGTCTTCTCGCGCTTGCAAAATTGAGCCGACAGGACCAGGGTCACTATCGTGACTGGGATCAAACAGGCATTGATGATAAAATCCATGTTTTGAGCTTGAAACACAACAAGGAGGATTTGGAGTTGACTTCCGAATACGAAGAAGAAATCGAATTTCAGGAGAGTGATATAAACCTAGAAGAAATCGGTCAGTCACAAAACAAAGAACATCAGCAGCATCGCAACAAACCTGATATGTAAAATACCGACGCTTCATCTGCAAATCCGCACTGATGTTCTTGTATATAGACCACGAAAACTCCGCGCGCAACTTCCACGTAAAAAAAGCCATGCACATAGTCCCGATGCCCAAAAACACCGGGACAAGAATGAGCTCGACCTGATACAATTTCCGCAGACGCTCGCCGAGGGCTTCATCAGCCAAGCTGGAGATCGTATCCTTGATCTCCGTCATCTGGAGAATGCCATATGCGAACAGGCCCTGATTACAGATGCAGAGACCGACCAGCTGGATTGTGTTCCTCCGGCGCAGCGCGTCATATGACAGGGCCAATTCGTATATAAGCGCAAAAATGTACAGGCCGAGGAATGACTGAAGGCGCAATCGTCCGTTTGATATGCTGTCGTCGTTGAGGTCGTCCCAAAGACTCATGAGAATCCAGCTAATTTCCCCATAAGCTCCATGTTAAAGAAGGGGCTGATATCCGAGCCGGGGGGGCCCCTACCTTTCAATTGCCACTGTCAGGACCGTCTCGGTGATCACCGTTGCGGAGAACGATCGCGTCCATAATGTGTTGGGGACGTATAGTAGAGGCCGGCTGTGGTTCGGGGCCTTGTGATGTTGTTCGTCTTGGTTCATGACCGGACTGAGTGGTACAGAATATGTGCAGATGTCTGATTCCTTGGTCTTGGAGGACTTGTCGTAAGCATCGTCAGATTTGGGTTGGAAGGTAGTTTGGAAAGGCCCAGAGATCATATCAAAATTGAGGGGAATGTGGAGGTTAAGCGGTTCAGGCTATTTTCCCTTTTCAGGAGTTTCGGTATATCAAAAACATCCCAAACTAAATACGTCTGCCTCCTTCACAGTGGGGCGACCACGTAAGGCCATTTTAGATCAAAGCCAAGGCCGATCTAGTGGTGTCCTAGTTGCAATTGACTTCCACTAAGCTGAAAAACAGAGAAGCTACTTGTATCTTTGTATGATGTACAGGACTTAGTCGGCCGTTACACAGCCTCATGTTATTTGATAGATAGCCGTGGGATATTCTTTACAGAATAATTTTTTTTTAGGTATTCCCCCTTTTGTTGGTGATATAGTTAGAAGGGTAAGAATATTGAAAATATGTGAATCAAAAGAAGACGCGTATCTGGGCTTGACATGCATGAGACTAAGACATAACCTTCCAGGGGAAACAGCATATTGCCCCATATCTGGGCAACCTTAGCTCGTGTTTCAGGTAAACTGTACTAATAATAGATTGTACTAATCACATTACGATGTACGGGGTAAAACATGGTTACAACATAGGTACTTACATGGATCTATAGCCCTTGGTCAACAATAGCACGGAATGTCTAAGTCCCTTTTGTGAGACCGGGATAGAATGTATTGTATGAGTATGAGGATGCTAAAATAATGCAATGATGGGGATATATCCAAAAAGAATGCAACAATGCACGCCATGCCAGTGCTTCAGCCGTATTGAACTCCCAGGTGTACCCGACACCAGTACAAATAAAACAGAAAGAAGGAGAGATAACACAGCGAAGCAAAAAAGCATAGAAAAACCGCAAAATGCATGATTCATGAGCACGGGCGTGTATGCATCAGAAATTAGGATTAGAATTCCATCTCGTCATCCCAGCCCAGCTGCGCGTATATCGATTTGGATTGGGATTTCTCGGGAGTTACTGGCACAACTGCAGCACCTTTGACGGGGGTTCCCATGACCGCAGGTGGGGAGTGAGCGCGAGGACTCTCGGCGACCATGGCATCAAGCGATAGAGAAAACGGCACAGCGGTGGGAGTAGATATACTCTGCGGTGCCTGTCTTTTGGGTGGCGTCTCCATGATTGCCGAGGTGCGAGCATGATTGAGAGACTGGCTGAATTGTCGAGATGATGTCGACAAGTTTTCTATGAATGCGGACATGTCCTTAGGGCGTGAATGGTTGGGGGAACCTGGGACTATTGGTTGTGTAGATGAGCGAGGCGCTGGAAGGTTGGGTACCCTGAAAAGGCCCTTGCCGGAGGAGGATGATGGGCGACGCGCAGTTATGCTATCACTCTGGAAAAGTTTGGAAGATGGCCTAGTTGGAGTTTCTTGAATAGCTCCGTCCAGATGACTTGATCGTGGATTGTCATGAGAATTGAAAGGATCGGAGTCAGCGCCAGAGAATGAGATCGCCCGTCGACTCGAGGACGGGATCATGGTGGGAGACTCGAAAGGAGAATTTTCCACACCAGCAAATGACCGGGATGGAGCCAGGCTACGAGGTAGCCCGACCCCCGCGTCCTTCCTTCGATTGCCTCGAGGAGTCGCCATGACCTGTACACCTTCGCCGAACGGATTGCGCACGGGATTTCTTGACTTCCTTGAACCGCTGCCACTTACAACCCGTTTCGACGCATCGTCTGCCAGATCCTTGGAGACGAGCTCTCTGTTCGGCTTCCGAAGTGCGTTAATAGCAGCATCCAGCTCTTTCTTCTGGTTGGCCAGCATTTGGACCTTTCTCAATTTAGTCTCATGCTGTCGTGCTACGGCGTTAAGATCAACCTCGCGGTTTTCGGTGCGTTTTGCTTTCTGAATGCCACCCCGGACACTGCCGCTGAGAACAGTGGGCAGCAAGGGTTCAATATCGTGCTTCGCATTATGCTGGGTCGGCGCAGTGTTGGATCGAGTCAGTCCTGGGTGCCGAGCATAGGACGCTGCCGCTTTATCGTCCGTAAGTACTCGCTGTAATGTCCGTCGGGGCTTCGGTGCAGGCTGTTGTCGCTTGACTTCCCCCCCGGGTTCCACACGGCGTGATTTACTCGAAGATTGTGTCTTTTTAGCAGCCGAGGAAATACTGCCGGATACCCCGAATTTGCGGGTGATCAGCTTGCATTTGTCCGGGAGACGCGCAGCATAGAATGGAATGATGACTTCTGTGCAGAAGTCACGCACCGCATCGCTCTCGACTTTCTTGCCTGAAAGATGGTTGCTACTGAAAGAAGAAGCCTTTGCTGTATCGGCGGCCGATGTTTCTTCCATTGTCACAGCGTGCCAAATACACATCCGATCGAGATGGAGTTCAAGAAGCATGTTCAAATCCGTTGGCTTCTTAGGCTTGGCTTTCTTCGGCGTATCTTGCGCCCCATTTACATCTTTCTCCTTGTTAGTGCTGGAAGCAATGGTGATTTCCAACCCCATGACTTCCAAAATCAGCAGGATCTGCAATTGTGTCTCGCGGAGGCGGAGATCCGAAATCTGTTTCTTAGACTCTGCTTCACGCGACGTTTCCTGTGCAGGATATTCATTCAAGATTCTGTCCTTCCACCACTTGTGGATGAATCCTTCCTCCCCTGGGTAAAGGCCATTCTTCCCCATCTTCTTTTTCTTACTTTTCCGCTTCTTAGATTTTGCGCCATCATCAGAAAGCGCAAGAGCTGCATCGCGAATTGCCAGGGGCAATGTTTCTCTGTATTTGAGGTCCATTTTCTTCGTAGCGAGGATAGCCTCGCGATAGGATTCGATCAACTCCGTCGAGCCATGAGGCTGTTCCAAGTCACGAGCCTGGAAAGCAGTCCGACAGCGTGTTAACGGGCCCTTCGCAAAGTACGCCACAGAAGTCTAGAAAATGTCAGCCGGGCAAACTCCTAATATCGAGTAGAGCAAATCACCTTTGAAACGTAGAGAGCCTGCAGATAGTGCTCTCTCATCCCGTCCAGCCACTCCTCAGGCGACTGTTGCACATCCACAACATTGGAATCGACACCATCAGCATCCATAGCCGCAGGTAAATCCCCCAAGCCCTGAGGTTCAGGAAGCAAGAAAGAGCCCCCTTCAACGGCATCAAAACTCCTCGACGGAGCAAGCGAATGGCTCCGGTGCTCTCCATCACCCACAAAGGATGCCTCGGTATCCCCGAGGTCCGACTCAGACGGACCAAAGACAACCGCAATATCCAGCCCAGCAGACCTTTCACTCACCTCATCGTCGGAGAAGGGCTCATCGATCTGAGCAGCCTGCCACCAGTCAAACCCATCGGGAATAGCCCCGGTCTCATCGACAGCAACGCTATCTATATCCGCAGCATCAGTTCCATGCCATCCCTTGGCCGCAACAACTAGATTGCCCTCGTGCACCCATCGGGCGAGCTTGGAGAGCGAGTATATTCCTCTCTTCACCCTCTCAATAATGTACAGGCCACCATTGGGCACTAGGCGCACTGCGAGGACGATCGGTTCCGTCTTTACGCACAAGTCAATTTCTAACGAGGGGATGTCCGCGGTGAAAAGGCCGCCGGATTGATCGTCGGATCGGGATGCAGGCGTATCGTCGAGCCACGAGAGGGGCAGCCTTGTGCGGGGGAGGGCCGTAATTGGTTCGAGGATCAAGGGTTCATCAGATAAAGACGCCGAGTGAGCCTATACAAGTTGCGGAGAGTGAGCAATAGCAACCAATGGATTGAGCGTATGCTGAGCCAGTTGTAAGCATGACTCACTCTAATGACGATGGAAGAGGTAGCAAGCCGTCTAGAAGTATCATCTAGCAGTACTTGATCGTCTCTTTTCCTCTTCTTTATAGGTGGAGGGGTCGGTTCGTGGAGTTTGTTCAGCGCGGATGAACTGAGCGGATCTAGGACGTTGGGGACAATGCGCGAGGCCATGGTCGCGTCTAGGAAATTGTGGGCATTCTGTAATTTGAACGCAAGAGTCAAGTCTTATGCTAAAGCAACAAAGCAATTGATGTTGGTTGTGCAGGTGTCGACAAGATCGCGCTCGAATCTTGGCGGATCTGGCGTCACGCGTCGGGACGTGTACTCCGCCTGGACCAATATGAGACACGTTAATTGATTTCGCTGAACTGGTCGACTGTTTGGCCTGAAAAGAATTTCGCCTAGGTTTGAGATTACTTTCTTACAAGATCGAGTACGTTAAGAATACCTAAACTAGTGGTATGATAGCAAGAACAATGTGAAAAAAATGGGATGAAATATTATGAATCTATCGCTAATGTTTAGATTAGCAGGCCCAGGACCAGACGAAAGAACTTCAGGTACTCTCACAGAGTAGTGTGCAGTTCCCTCGAAACCGAGAGGGCATGATCCCGCGTGGAAGCAGGACCAAAATCTCCTCGGTAGGTACCATGGACAGTGAGGTAGAGATACGGTGTTGAAGACTGTCGCTCCAGAAAAACGCCAAAAACTTCCTTTCCCAGCCGATGAAAAGTGGTATCATGTTGAATTTTGTCTTCGCCGAAAAGGCCCGTCATTTGCGCGACCATGCAGATAATGAAACAAGAGAAATTGGTCTCCTAGTGGGAACCAACTTCCGGATTTTATGAGGGTTTTTTATAGTCTATGCTCATCGTGCTTCGAGTTGTTGAAAACAAAGCAAATCATCACAGTCGTCAATAATTGTCCGGAGTCACCGGATCAAGCAGAGCCCGCTTAGAACTTGAGGGTACGGGGTGACTCCCAGGAGAACTCCTGGTTAGTGAAGTGGCCGTTCTTGGCGGTCTGGTAGTAGATGGGCTTGGCCAAGTCGAGGTCCTTCACGATGACACCGGGACGGAGATCAAAGTTGTCACGGATGATCTGGACCAGCTCGTCGGAGGTCTTGGAGGAAGTACCGTAGGTCTCAACGAAGATGGAGAGGGGCTCAGCGACACCAATGGCGTAGGAGAGCTGGACGAGGGCACGGCGGGCAAGCTTGGCGTTGACCAAAGACTTGGCGATCCAGCGCGCAACGTAGGCGGCGGAACGATCGACCTTGGAGTAATCCTTTCCGGAGAAAGCACCACCACCGTGGGCACCCCAGCCACCGTAGGTGTCGACGATGATCTTACGGCCAGTGAGACCGGCATCACCCTGAGGACCACCGATGACAAAGCGACCGGAGGGCTGGATGTGGTAGACAGTGCGATCATCGAGGAGCTCGGCGGGGATGACCTTCTGAACAATCTTCTCCTTAATGGTGGCACGGAGCTCCTCAGTGGAGACATCGTCAGTGTGCTGGGCGGAGACGACGACAGTGTCGACGCGCAGAGGCTTGACGGCACCGTTGTCGTGGGCATACTCAATGGTAACCTGGGTCTTGGTATCGGGGAGCAACCAGGGGATGGAGCCATCCTGACGGGCGGCCTTCATGGCAGCATTAAGCTTGTGGGCGAGGAGGACAGTCAAGGGCAGAAGCTCAGGGGTCTCGTCGGTGGCATAGCCGAACATGATACCCTGGTCACCGGCACCGAGCTTCTCAAGGGCCTCCTCGTAGTGAAGACCCTGAGCGATATCGGGAGACTGCTGCTCAATGGCAACCAAGACGTTACAGGTCTTGTAGTCGAAGCCCTTCTCGGAGGCATCGTAACCGATGTCCTTGATAGCGCCACGGATAATCTTCTGGTAGTCCAGGTGGGCTTTGGTGGTAATCTCACCGAAGACCATGATCATACCTAATGTGACACGTCAGATTGAGATCTGGCCTGAAGTAATTATAGTGAACCTACCGGTCTTGGTGGCCGTCTCGCAAGCGACCTTGGAGAGGGGATCCTCAGCAAGGCAGGCATCGAGGATAGCATCGGAAACCTGATCACTATTGGGGAATTAATACACTGTTACAATTGGAATTGATGGTACAGAGCCCATCTAATAATCCACTGAGGGCAAAGGTGAAAGGTTTTAGGGGTATAACTCACGCAATCTTATCGGGGTGACCCTCACCGACAGACTCGGAAGTGAAGAGGAAAGTGCCGCTGTTTGCAACTGAACCCATTGTGACGGTGTGTGGAAGAAACAGAAAATTGACAGAAAAGGAGGCGGGGGAGGAATGAGGAATGGAGAGAGGAGAGGGAAAGGGAGAAAGATATCTCGGGGAGGGGGAACCTTGGTGGGGTTTTGCTTTTTTTTCCGAGTTACACAGGCGGTACCCGAGAAAACATAGTGTGCGTGGGCGAAAGGCAAGGTACTGCCGAAGTACCCTCTGAATGTCCTCCGTACACGGTACTTCCTGTCCCTTGCTAGCCCGCGATCGCGCCATCTGGGGCGGTGAATATGGGCAGATCGTCTGGACTGCAATTTTCTTATGACGATAAGATAGAACATTCTAAAGTTCAATCTTCTTGGTACTTTTTAACATACAACCATGTCCAAATTTGGTGTCCTGGTAATGGGCCCTGCGGGTGCAGGCAAGACCACCTTCAGCAATGCAATAATCCAACACCTTCAAACCACCCGCCGCAGCTGTTTCTACGTGAACCTCGACCCTGCCAACGAGACATTCGCCTACGAACCAGATCTCGATATTCGTGACCTGATCACTTTGGAAGATGTCATGGAAGAGATGGGCCTGGGGCCAAACGGAGGCCTCATATACTGCTTCGAGTTCCTACTCCAGAACCTGGAATTCTTATCAGAGGCATTGGAGCCATTGAGTGAAGAGTATCTGATCATCTTCGATATGCCCGGACAAATCGAACTGTACACACACATTCCCCTGCTACCAACCCTCACAACTTTCCTCTCGCGACAGGGCCCGTTGAATATCAACATGTGTGCTGCCTATCTACTCGAAAGCACATTCGTCATCGACAAGGCCAAATTCTTCGCCGGTACACTCAGCGCCATGTCCGCCATGCTGATGATGGAGATGCCGCACGTTAATATTCTCAGCAAGATGGACCAAATCCGCGATATGGTGACGCGCCGGGAATTGAAGCGCTTTACCAACGTGGATGTGGAATTGCTGCAAGAGAAGGAGGAGGACGATCTCACCGCAGGTGCCAACCCAATGGCCGCGGAATCCTTGATGAGCGGCGGGTCTTTCAAGCAGCTCAACCGAGCCGTCGGACAGTTGATAGATGATTTCAGTATGGTTTCGTTCCTGCAATTGGATGTTTCGGATGAGGACAGCGTCGCGGCGATAGTGAGCCACATCGACAATGCTATCCAGTACCATGAGGCCCAGGAACCGAGAGAACCCAAGGATGCAGTCGAGGTGGATTATGAGGATTGAGGGATATCACATATGATTACTGCATCACTGTGACTTGCAGCGAATTCTCTGCATATACACCCCCACGACCGACCACTCTACCCAATGCCACTCCCTGCAGCAGCCTCGAGTTTTCGGCAGCGGAGCAGTCTGAGATAAAGCGCACTTTTCATCTCCGTTTGCTAATGTACGGTCTTACGATATTGGAAAAGCTTTCTAACGTTCTTGTCGCGCCGGACTCCACAGAATTTGGGGCTTCCTCGACGTTTGGAATCAATAATACTTACGATAAAATCATGGCTGCGACTACTAGAGTCAGAGCCAAGGGCTTTCTACACCACAAATGGATATTCGGTCATATCCTCGGGTAATAGAAATCATAATGAAACCAAGATGAGACTAAAATCAATCCATGAATATCGTGCTCTTTAGAATTCCAAAAACAAGTCGTTAATCGCTAGCCCAACTCAACGGGATGAAGTAAAGAATAGGCAGACCCATCGCGCAGTTTCATGATATACCCCAAACAGGGATACCAGCCGCAAAGAAAGACATCAACAAGCCGAGAATTTCGACTCAATTCCCAGCACACAACTATTCCAATCTCACCACACGTCCACATCCAATCCCACCGAAAAACCTCATCCAACAGCCCTATAACAGACCAAAGCAAACCGAAGTACCCTACCTCGGGACTCCCGCATAAGCCGCCGCAGCCATCTTAGTCTTTTCCTCAAAATCGCCGACAAACCCACATATCAGACCCCAAACCCACCCGACACCCCTGCCCGCATTCTCAATACCAACGTTGTAGACATACCAGCCAAGACCTAGAACCGAGACCCAGAAAACCAGCTTGAAAGCGAGCGCGATCCAGAACATGACAAGGCGGTAGGCGTAGTCGAGGATCTTGATAGAGATGAGGATTATGACGGCGAGGAGGAATAAGGACATTAGGTCTGGCATGACGGAGGCGTAGACGGCGAGGAACTTCGAGACGGGTTCGATTATGTATGGTTGAAGCACCATTGTCCGTAGGTGCGAGAGTTTTGTTGCGAGATGGTCTTGTGCTGTTGCTTGGAGGTAGGCGAATGTCGAATGATGGAGGACTGTTTGGAGGTTTTCTGTGTCCGGGATTATTGGTTAGCTTTTGCGGTGTGGGATTTGTATCTATATGGCTGGAAGGCAGGTTAAGTAAATACCTGGTAGCAAGTCCATGATCGCGTATTGGAGTATATTTGATTGTTGAAGAGGTCAACGAGGGAGAGACAGGGGCAGAGAGAGAAAGAGAGAGGTTCCTCGCGTGTCAGGTCCGTGTTTTTCTTTGGCTTGCCGCGCTTTGTTTGAGAACCTCGGCTCTTGGTGACCCTTGAGAATGGATTTTCGAGGGAATACTGGTGTGAGGCAGAGGAATAACACCCTGGCTTTCCAACGTTCAAAGGCGTTGTTTCTTTCCAAGGTTGGCTCGAGAGCGCTTCGTAAGGTCTTGTGCTGGAGCTCTTTGTTTGTAGTAGAGCAATGCGAGGTGGAGGGTACGTGAGGTGTGTTAAAGGTCAGCTGCAGCGGAGACTAGGAGATGTTATTTCTGAAGGTATATATTCCGATGCAATCAATGATGAATGGTAGGCCAAGAAGCGAATGCGATGTTTAAGCTTGGGTGTCTAAGTTGTGGCACCCAGAGGATGCAAACCAAACAAACTTCACATGTGAAGAGATGCTCTACTCCGTACGGAGCACAACATACTTGGATCTATAGCTTCACTTATACATTGCTCTCAGCTAATCTCGGTATGTTTCATGAATATTAGATTCATTATAAATGATACTGTACAGTAGATTAGATATTTACCTGAAAAGAGACGCTTTCTATATACAAGCGCGACCAACAACAGTCAACCACGAGTTCGTGAATGTAAAAGACAAAACGCTCCAAGCCCAAATTGGTGAAGAGGCCAGCGCGGTGCCACGCGCATGATCTAAGATGAACCAAAATAAAAACCCGGGACTCCGGGCTAACTCCAATATATTGTACTCTACCATCGCGGGCGATGGGAGCACAAATGCATATGCAGACATGGTATAGTAAGACAGTAGGAAAGGGCAAAGCGCGAGATTTGACAAATTTACAGAGCATCGATGAGCCCTCTGAGGGCGTCACGCTCAGCTTGGATCTCGGCAAGGAGTTGGCGGGTTTGGCGGAGAGCGTCATCTCTGCCGGATGAGTTAGTAAAGATGGGATGAAAAGAGATAACCATGAGATAAAACACAAGTTACATACCTGTCAGTTTGAAGCTGAGCCACATCGATCTGCGTGCGGTTCATACGTCCAACCACTTGCTCCATCTCCATATCCGCATCACGGAGGAGCTTCTCGAGATCCTTGACTCGTCGCTCGAGGATTTCGGATTGGACAACCTGGGTCAAGGGTACACCCTCACCGCTGGTGGTCTGGTCCAGGCGCGGCGAGCGAGCATCGAATGGTGCGTTGGGCGGCCGCGGGGAGAGGACAAGTGTGTTACGGCCGCCATTCATCATCCGAGTGAGCTGCGCATGCTGGCTTTCCTTCAGCAAACGGAGCTCGTCCTCATGCTTGCCCATCTCTTCTTCCGTGTGGTTTTGGGCAACCAAAAGAACTTCCTCCAGCTCTCTCATGTGGTTCTGCAGAATGTTGATCCGTTCAACGGAGAGCTGCTGATCTTTGTCACCTTTATCAATGGCTGTTGCTAGACGGGAATGCAGAGAAGTATTGGTCTGAAGCTGGTAATGGACTTTGCTGCCCAGTGTCTCAATTCGAATAAGGGAGGAAGCGAGCTCCTCCGAATCCGCAACACCTGCCTTAGCCTCCGCTTGATCTGCTTGCAATTTCTGGAATGCAGATTGCAGGGAAGATGATGTGGTCGCGACCTCAGCAAAGCCTTCTTGGCCGGTCATCAACTCTGCACCAGCGGCAGTGTCCTCCACAAGAAGAGCGCGCAGAGAGCTGGTCTCCTGCTCGGCACGGTCCAAGTCCATCTTGAGACCAGCGAGGTTCTTCTCGCATTGCCACTTGCCATCTAGAGCATCCTCAGCGCGCATGCGAAGATGATTCACCTCGTCACGCAGGTTGCGCACATCTCTCTCATAGCCTAATTTCCGTGGCTGACCCGATTGCTGCGCTCGAGCAAGCTCCATCTCGAGCAGACGAGTGCGCTTCTCGTACTCGCGGGCCTGGTATGCCTGGCGATCGAGGAGGCTCCGCAATGTCCGGTGGAGGACATCGCGTTGAACCTCGATATCGTGGACCTTGTCAACCAATGATTCACGTGTTTCTGGTGATTTACCACCGCTGTTATTATTCACGGAGTTGGATCGAGAAAGTCCACCTGAGTGAGCTAAGCTGCTGGGCTTGCGTGCAACGGAGCTCGATCGTCTCACTCCAAATGCCGAGTTTCTGGGTGAGGCCCCTTCCTCAGCGATTGAAGCGAATCGACCACCCTGTAGCTGAGCCAAAGAAGCATTCTCGATTTTTAAAGCTTCAATTTCCTCAATGAGCCTGTTGTCATCTCGAAGTTGATCTCGATCATTTCGCAATTGTTCCAACTCTACCCGCATGGCAGTAAGTAGGTCCTCAAAGTTATCTTTGGATTGCCGCTCTTCAAGCAGCTTCCGCTTGGTGTTTTCCAATGCGGTCTCGAGTTCCTTGGTTTTCGACGACAAATCAGACGTATCCGTTCTGTCGCGTCGAAGCTAATGAAGGTTAGCAGTTGGTCACATTTGCGCCATAGTTTGTCAGCCGTACCTGTTGAACTTGAGATTCCAAGATTTGAACATGCGATTCTGATGCCAAGCGCTGAGACCGCTCCTCCTGTAACTTCTGCGATAATTCGACCTTGAGTTGTGCTCGTTCTTGGTCTGCAGCTCGGCGAATCTTTTCGATATCTTCGCTCTTCCCAGCATCTGATGCATAGCGAACAGAGCTATTACCCGAGTCTGAGAAATAGTCACTTGTCCGTCGATTGATGTCCGGACCTTCTAATTGTAGCCGTTCGACTAGATCCTCCAGATCCATTTCCCGGCGGATAGATCTCGCTAGTTCGGAGCTTATCTCTCGTAATTCATTCTCAATGTCTGCGATCTTGGATATAAATATATTTTCCTTTAAACTTGAAGACCCCATTGAGGTCCGCGCTGGATGACCATATCCATTGGTCTTGGGATCGTATGGAGAGCCGGGGTTGAAAGGAACGTTTGCTAATGGTGGCATAGGGAAATGTGTTGCTGATCGACCGGAGTCGGAGATCTCGGTGCTCGATGATTCACCTCCGGGAGATGTATTATTCCCCTTCCAGCCGAAGAAGGAGCTGATCTTGTTCCCAGGGGTTCTGGGGTTCCTTGGATCTCCCGCACCCATTGACATTGATACCGCACGCGAGTCTACTTTGAAATGTAGTGGAGGTGGTCTGTTCATAGACATGTGTAATGCCATACTCGTTGCCCGTCGTGACGATCGTTTCGTTAGAGGAGGGGATCTGAGGATCGGGATGAATGGTTCGCTATCTAGACGACTGTGCAGAGGGGTTCCATTCATGAACTGATGTTCGTACTCTTCGTCAAAGTAGTTGGAACCCTCGTCTTCGTCGTCGTCGTCGTCGTCGTCGTCCTCAAGCACCGATCTTAAGTACGAGGCGGAACCGTGGCGGGATGCAGCGGTATCGATGTATAGGGGTTGAGAATCGTTCCGTCCTCGCGAATATCTAGAGAGTTGGGACAGAGGCACGCGATTAGTCTTCCAGACTTTGGAGAAACGGAATAGCATGTGTAGGCCATATCATGCTTGATCGGTAGGTAGCCCGGGGGAGAAAAAAGGAGGGTCTGCCGAAAAACGCGGGAGAGGAAAAACCGGGGTCATGCTGGTCGCGTACCTATTAGAGTTCTTTGGCACCGATATATATGAGTCTCCATCCACCGACAAAGGGGAGAGTGGTGCAGTGGGAATCGAAATGGGTTTATCTCCCTCGAACGAAATGGGAGAGGAGGGATGATCAGGGCCCGAAGTCACTGGACCATCATTATGCGGGAGAGGTTTCGTTCGGACTGGAGGAGTAGTTGGAGGGGGGTTAGGACTAGAGAAGCTCTCTGAATGGGCGGGAGAGCCGCCAAACTCTAGAGGAGACGCCATGAAACACCCTGGTCCGTATCAAAAAATAGCCATGGATCGACAGCCGTTCATGCTGATAAGCACGGGAAAGAGAATGGCAAGCGCCAATGAGACGACCAAAAGGGTAAGGATTATTCTAGGAGGATATCAGACGAGAAGGGAAATGGGAGAAAAGGAGAAAGTCTTGGTACACGACAACCCCGGGCGATTGGCGCAAACCGCCCGTGGGTTCTCCATTTCAGTAGCGCTGGCTTCGGGACGAGTAAGCGTGGGTGGAGCACAAGGGGGGCTGGCGTGGGTCTGGATGTGCATCAATTCAATTGGTACGAATATCATACAATGATGCTTTGGCCGATAGGATCGACATCGCTTGAGAACCTACTTCGTATGTACCATGCAGCGTGGCGATACGCTTGACGTCCTTGATAGTCCGGACCTGGTAAGATGTGTATAATATACAATGTACTCTGTACGGAGTATATGTTGTATAGTACTATATGGAGCACGGTGATAAGGTTTGAAATATGAAAATAGAACATTCAATAGTGTCAAGTGACACAAAGAACCCCCTTGAGTCGTGGAGAGGAGAGGAGAGGGAGAGGTTAGCCCGGGTGAATGCTTGGCGATTCAGGGGTAGCCTTTCAGGGCTGTGGGAAGTACCGGGAATGTACTTTTATGTCACTTTCCTTATCTTTCTCTTGAAAAGATACCTCCAAGTACTTTATGTCTACTTTGATGTTTGACTTGGTAGCCCTATACAATCTACTCAGTAACTACTCTGCGTATCTGAAGTTTTCACTATTAGGAGGCTACATTTATATTAGAGTTGTGTATTTCATACGGCTTGTATATAACTTCAACGGACTATGGAAACTCAATATAATTGTCTGCAGTATATTAAGGGGCCCTCCGAAGACAGTGGAGATACCCCTTTTCCCCTTCCCTCTCTCGTACAAGCTTCTCAATTTTGTGGAAAACCCAAGGCCATACCCTGCCAGAAGAACGTGCACAATCCAACACGCTAACTACGGTATGTCCAATCAAAGTGAGACGTCGATCAACACAGCGTCTCGCCAGACACTCGGGCCAGCGCGTGGGGCCGGAATGTGTTGCTTCAACGGGCTAAGCGCCCGGCCTAAAGCACCTGTTCCTGCATCGTGTCACATCAGGAAGTTGGCCAATGTGATTATTGTACTTTGTTTGGAAGACCCCGTACGGAGTCCAGTCCACCGATATGAGGGTTAGCACTGAAGACCCCACCTAGAAAGACATTACTACTTACTGCAATTCATATGGATTCTTTCCGCGGCTGGAATTGATTGGACAACCATATGTTCCTTGCTTCAGCTTAGGACCCAAGGATCCAACTCTACTGTCTACATACAACATACAATCCCCCGTGTTGTGAATAACGGCCTAGCAGTAATCACACACTACTCTTATTTGACGTTAGGGCCGAGAATACGGAGTACTATTAGGTTATACAATTATTGTGTCAACCCCTTATCGATCTACAGGGTTTATTCAGGGCGTTGATGCGACTGCTCGGACTCGCTCTTTGTTACACCCTAAGGAGATAATTGTTTCACTGGTACAATATGTGGTAACATTGAAATTAGACTAAATGTTACCATCCCGACAAATGGAAATATTTATATGAGGTGGCTTGATCTATTGTATGAAATTAAGGGTTCTAAGATGCGTACAACATAGGGCTACTCCAGGGGTCCACCATAGCTGTCACAGACTGAGTTGACAGGACGGAGGATGTACCATACGGAGTACGGAGTACACAGCGCTAAACTGTTGTCTCAGTCCACCTGCACGTCAAAGAAAAGTTGGCTTATGCACACCCGTTTGATCCACTCCCTTCCAGTCTAGACCATGTCTCAACCTTTGAAGCTGTCTCACATTCAAATACTTAAATCCCAGCCACTGCTGTTCTATCATTAGAAGTAGTTGGGAGTGTCCGGGTCCAACGGCTGGCTAGATGTCTCGATGCTGCATTTACGCTGTTTCAGGGGCCCTTGCTGTATGCACATCTCTAGATATGCAACATATTGGATGCAATATCTGGCACGTACGCATTATAGGTATGGCGGTGAGCAAACCTCGGCCTCGGCGCTTCCCTTTAAAATCCTTCGTGCTCCCTCTCTTTGATCACTAATTCAGACTCGTCGCATTTTCCAGCTTCATCCACAGTGGTTGAGCATTCGACAAGGTTTGTGCATACGGCTGGACCCACTGCAGACAAAGGCGATGGGATTATCCTAGCCACCTCAAAGGTTTTTTATGGGGCATCTGTTCGCCGGTTCTGATGATCTGGAGGATCCCGACGAGGGCTCAAGCAAAATTTACAGTCAAAACACTTAACTAACTGGCATCCTAACACCGATATACTCGTTCTGAAAGTTCCCCTGTGAAGACATTGGATTGCGTCGAATGATCTAAATCAATTCGAAAGGCTAATGCTTCACATCGACGACCACAAGCACTGCCGTTCGATCATTGAGAGTGAGATTCATACAACGTGATGATGAACTGGGCGGGGTTTGAACTGTTATAAGGTCTTCTAAGTCTATTCCACCATTGGTGTTCGACACTTAGTGTGTCCTTATTACTATCCGTACTAATTATTTTTGCCCTGTGAGCTAAGAGACCAGTAAACAGTAAGATATAATTCAAGGGCAAAATATCGGTAATATTATAGTAGCCCAATGCTAACTACTAGTAACTACTGGTCCCATTTACTCTGTGAGCCTGCGACCATGTCATTCGACAATTTCAACATCGAGGGCAACATGAACACCACGAACATACCTTTCGCCGTGAAGCGAGGCAGTAAATTGCCATAGTTGATCGACAAGCTAAACGAAAAGAGATTAATACGGCATTTCAAAGGCGACTAGACGTTCATGGAAATTCCACCGACCGCGGAAAGCTCTCTTGAAATCCGACCTAGAAGAGTTAGTCTTCAAGCATCTCGAGATGAAGGCATCTAGCTGACTTGCGATTATCCACCGCTTGCTTGCTCGTTCCAATGATTCAGTTACCGGTTGCAATACCTCGGTCATGTGGTTGAAATGCTTTTCCAGCCAGGCAGCTACCGTTCCAGCCTTCTGAAGTAAAAAGACGGCCGCCAAAGGCATTTTGCTTATGCTGAGAATGTCGTCCATACATGTAATGTCACGAGTGATGTTCAACGCCATTTCTAGAGCTGCTATAGACGACTCCCGGACATTATTCTGTCTGCCTGGGACGCTACCAAGGCACATCAGCCGCTTCTTATGAAGTTCAATGAGAGCTCTACTTCCATTAGCATTAAAGAAAGATATGACCAAGGGGTGACTCACAGAAGAAGGATAATTATCGCTCTGTATGGTCGCTCCCAATCCTTTCCAGAGCTATTCAAAACGTCGACCGTATGTTTTCGAATCAATGACTCAATTCTCCAGAAATCATAGTCTGTCATTTCCATCATGGAGACGGGATGAATCTCGGTTAATTGTACGACTTGCTCCAGAAAATAGACAGCCTCTATCTGCTGAGCAAAACCTGGAATGGTTGTTCCCATTGCGTCAGAGAGCAGCTTTATTTCCGGATCCCAGGGACCAACCCCAGTATGATTGCTCCATAGCTCATCATCAACAGGAAGTTCATGCCCGCTCTGAGAGCTCTGAACGAGCAAGGTTCGTCCAGAACTCTCATCAAAGTGATAGAAGAGTCTGTCGAGCAAGTAAATCGACCACCACACACGCTTCCTCTCTTCTTCAAAAACAGAGGAGTTCTGGCGGAGCCGATGCAACCCAGTAGCGAATCCCAAATTGACACAGCAAGATAGCGTTGTATATGAATCAGAGTGCAATCCACTTCCTTGCTCATATATAGCTAGCAGTAATCCTGACTGCATAGTGGCTAAATGATCTTGTCGATATGTATGTAGGAGCGAGAAAATCTTTTTGCATACCACATATAGGGGTATGATTTCAGTAAGCTGAGACAGTTCTGGGACATTTGGCGGATTCACCAGCAAAATATGGAGAATAAGGGAAGCCAACTCGGCACAGGGCTCATCTCGCAGTGATGCAACTCTTTGTGCCAAGAAGATGGGATGAATAAAGGGAAGCCATTGGTGCATGCATCGTTCGTAGCAACCTATAACATTTTCTAATCGAAGATTCAGGCTTGCCAAGATGTCAAACATGTAGGAAGTGAAACCAATGTCGATGCTCTTCTTCCTGCAGGTGCCGATGTAGGGTTGATCAAGGTAGTAAAGTGATTTGTGAATAACTAAGCTCCAATGGTCATGATCTTGAGTGCAAGTGATAGGTTGTAGAGGCTGATGGCTAGGATTTTCCTGAGTAGCACAAGATGTGTACTGACATGGAACGTTATTGCTTCGCCAATTTAGCCAATTGCTCCGAACAAGGTTGAATCCATTATTTACCTGACACAACGGCTGCAGCCCGGAATTTGCCGATCACATTTGCGTTTCTGAGAATGACACAAGAAACAGGCGTTTGGAGCAGCACTGCCTACTTGCATAATAGCAAAAATACTCTTGAATGGGCGGGAGCTTAAGGAGCGTGGATTCATGAAAACGCCAGTAAGTAGTGGATAATAGTTTGGCCTATTAGGGACAAGTACAATATAAAGCGGTGAGAGCAATACTGGCAGAACCAGACTCTTGTTGCGCTAGTCCGCTAGTGTCGGACTAGCTTCCCTTGGCAAATGAAGTATGTGATGGGCTATATTGTATGAATCCTTCAATATTATACAATTCCCTAGGTCCCTTAGGCTGCTTATCAATTTCAATCATAAATCTCAGTGTGGTACTCGGTGTTCGGTGTTCGGTCTTATTAAAAGACAATAGATCGTCAGCTATAAGTATGCTCGCTACTCCGTATACGCCCATTAGTTCTTTGCCAAACCTCATCATCGGATTTCCCAAACTTTGCCTACCCCCAAGAAACATGAGTGTTTCCGACGTGCCTTGTGCTCCATCCCTTTTCATATCCCACGGTACAGGGCCGTTTCCGCTCTTGGACCCCGAACAGGAATCCTACAGACAACTCCTCCGCCGTCACGGAAGCAAGCTCGACGGTGTCAAGGGAATCCTCCTTTTTTCGGCTCATTGGGAGACCGAGACTCCGCATATATCGGGTGGCGATAATCCTGGTATCTTCTACGATTATGAAGATATGCGGGATAGGCTCCCGCCGGCGGCGTTTGAATTCCAATATCCGGCACCTGGAAATGCGAAGTTGGCTACAGAAGTTGCCAACCGACTGAAAGAATGTGGATTTAGTCCTACTTTGGATCTTCAGCGTGGATTTGACCATGCTGTCTACGTCCCAATGATCCTTCTACGACCGCAGGCCGATATCCCAATCGTCCAGATGTCCATTCTGAAAGGACACGATGAACAAGATTCAACAGAGAAGAACATCAAGCTGGGACAGGCAGTGGAGTGTTTCCGGAATGCCGGCTACGCCATTGTTGGGAGCGGCGGGTCGTACCATGACTTCGAGGCTATCGCAAAGGCATTCTTTACAAATGAGCCTGTGCCAGCAGGCACGGAACGATTCGAAAATTTTTTGAAGAATGCGGCATCCATTCCTGATTCTTCCCAGAGAGAAGTGGCGCTTCTTGGATGGAGGGAACTCCCTGCTAGTCATACTGCTCATTTGACCAACTGTTCAGAGCATCTAATGCCTTTCATGGTTGCGGCGGGAAGTGGAGGGGACATTGCCGGAGTGAGATTTGATATGTATGAGTACAAGGGAGCTCCAATGAGTTTTTATAGGTGGTAAAGGAGGTCACTCAGTCTGAAGGTCGACCTTCAGACGAAGTGTCATTCTTGTGTAATCACTTCTTGTTACCTATAGGAATTATGAATTTCGCCTTTTCATTAATAATCTCTGTATTTTGTTTCCATACACGCTGATCGATTTTTGATCTGGCTAGTTGCGAAGCATTGCATGATAGCTCATTCACTCCCTTGGGCACTTTCCATTATCAGCGCCCTACTGTGTGGATTGAATACATGGAGGTACTACCTGGATACGACGGCTAAAGACAGAGACATTGCAGATAGCTACATGTATTTCTTATGACAAACACTTCTATCCTTTCTCACCTCCTTCCCGAATTCCATCCATGAACCTATTCCTCTATTGATTGCTCTTCCCACGAAGTACAGGCTTATACTCATTTTCAATGAAAATAAAGTGCGCAAGGCCCGAACTTCGATTTGGATGATAACGGAAATGCCACATGGATATTCCCCTCCTTCGGTCAGTGACCCTCCCGCAGCTGCCCCTCACCGAGCTAAACTACGGCAGCGTGGCACTTACTTGCCGAGGAACACTAGATTAGCCACGTTCATGATTGACATGAAGAGCCAAATCAAGACGGCTAGAATCATTGTGTACCACGAGTTGGTCATCTTGACACCTTCGGGTTCGAGCTCGGCTCCCTCTCCAATTACCTGGTCCGCATCGCTCTCGTCATCCCTGCCCGCCATGCGCCAGCGCGCTTTGCCGGGATAGGCCGTCATGTATTTATCGCGGCAGGTAAAGTAGATCAGCGGCGCGGTAACAAATGGAAGTATGATACTCAGCGCTACTTGCGACCCATTGAGTGCTGCATTAAGCCCTTCGCGACCCACGGCTCCCGCGATGACGATGCTCGGTGTGATACTGATGGTGCGGGTTATGAGGCGGCGTAGCCACGGCTTCATCTTCCAGTTCAGCGCGCCCTCGCTGACCATCTGGCCGGCGATGGTGCAGACGATTCCTGCTGATACTCCCGACAGCAACAATGCCAGAGCGAATATGATACCTGCCGCGGGCGAAATGGACTTGGAAAGCAGATCGTGAATACCAAAGATGTCGGCCTCGAGGGCAAGTGGGTTTTGATATAGCGCGGCACCAGCAACGATGAGAATGGCGGAGTTGACAAAGAGGGCGAACGTGAAGAGCGAAATGGCCAGCTCGAGAATCGATACTGTCAGCGAGTGCTTAATTGCGCCTAAGGACGGGACATAGTAGCCGTTGTCGATACCATCATCTAGAACGGTATATCCCGACGCGAGCTGACGAGGCAAAAGCCTACTTCGCTCATCGTATTCGCGTAGGCGGGGTTGAACAATTCCCGACCCTAGGTACAGACTGTGAGGCATGACTGTTGCGCCAAGAATTCCACAGGCCTGATAGATACTGGAAAAGCATGAGAGTGAGATAAGGGGACAGCGGGGAATTTTGGACTCACGCTTCCGACTCGATGAGATATTTTGACGGAATATAACCCTTGAAAACCTCCCCCGGGGTAGCGCCATGGATCATAGACATTTGGATGCAAAAACACACGACCACGGCGAGAACCAAGCAAATGATAAACATTTCAAAGTACCGTAGACCCTTCATAGACCCTTCCGGGTGGTAGAAAAACAGGGTTACCATGACATCGAGGATGGAAATAGCGCATCCTGCGACCAGCGGTACCTTAGGGATCAGAAGGTTCAATGCAATGGCAAATCCAATCACCTGGTCAGTTAGCACTTGTAGACGCACAATATACAAAACGGGGAGTGAATCAGGGGTCTACCTCTGCTATATCGGTGGCAATAATGGCAGCCTCGGCAAAGGCGTACAGGATGTAGTTGAGCCAGCGCGGGAGAAACGCGCGACATGCCTCGGCGAGGTTCAGACCACTGACGGTGCCGAGCTTGATTGCCAGGCTCTGGAGGAAAATAGCAAACAAGTTGGACAGGAGAACGATGAACAATAGACGGAAGCGGTACGAGGCTCCTGCGGCAATGTCGGTCGAGTAATTGCCCGGATCAACTAGGTGCAGGCATGTAAGTGAGGTGAAGGGGAAGGTTGCGGGACGACAGCATTCTGGACATACTGTACGCAACCGAAATCATAAAGCCCGGCCCGATGAAGGAGCCAAAGGTAGCGAGCATCTTCCGGGCGCGCTGGATCAGCGTGCCCGGGTCGGCGTCACCACCAGCTGAAGCTGGAGGAGAACCCGAGGGGTGGGCGGCTGCAGGTGTCTGCAGACCACCCTCAGTGGACTGGCCGCGATCAATTGATCGCTGAGCCAGCCGGTAGGTGGCCTTGCCGTGGCCGTCGCTTTCGGTAGGAGCATCACTGGCTATTTGACCTGGGACATTCGAGGCCGCATTTGACACTGCGTTAGTGTCGCTTTCTCGAACGGCCCGAATGTTGACGAGGCCGTTGAAGTCCTCGTTGGTGGTCAGGTCACTGGAGTTTGGGTTCGGGCTTTGGTTGTAGCCGTCACCCTCGAGGGGCTCCTCGGTGTGGGATGTCTTGTTCATTCCGTTGACAACTGCCGCAGAATATGACTTGTTGGTCTACGATTGATAATACTTGAGACGGGGTGTCGGATGAATGTTGGGGAGACGCGGAAATAAAATTTATGGCTCCAGCGGTACTCCGTATAGGCAGCAGAAAAAGGAACCCGAATGAAGTTTTCCCCCCACAGCGGCTGGTTTGTACCGACTTTCCCCGGAGGGTGGATTGATCTCCGATTTTGTTTCTCTTCTATTCTTTCTGAGCCCTATTTTTAGAGGCACCTAGCTCAATACAGTCAATGGAGACAGACAGCACCAGAAGATAGCCGGGATTACTTCGGTGTCAGACTCCATGCCCGACATTTCGTGCCCAATTGGGATTATACCCTCGCGCAACCCCAAATACATTCCGTATCTCATATTCCCCATTTGTGCTTTCATAGTGGGTGAATCCGGCTAGACAACCAAGGATGACATGGAAGAAGCCGGTGATGACACCGTAAACAGCCCCAGCTGCGGCAGCAACACTGTAAGGGCAGACATCGTAGCCTGCAGGTTCAAGTTAAGTATTAGTTAAATCATTCAACCGATCCAACAGGAGCAGCGAAGAGAGCGACCCCGAAGCTTTCATGATGTAGGAGAGACGGCAACGAACCTCCGTTATGTGCCATACGAGCAAAGACGTATCCTCCCAAGGCATTGAACCCCATAACACAAAGTTGTGTCTGAGGTTTGCCACCATATAGCCCCCCAGCCGCTGAAGGACAGGAAAAGATTAGCAACGGAGCTGCAAGCGAGGAGAAAAGACTTACATTGATATATCCCCATACATTCTCCCGAGAGGGGAATAGCAGCGACAACAGCCGCAATAAGCAATGCGCTTGGTGCTATATATCGTTAGTACAATGACTAGATGGGTCATGATAATGACCGCCAACGTGAGCCGCACAGAGCTCTAGCTGAACAGTGCTTCAGTGGACGGGTTTCCACTCACTTTCTCCAAGAACCAAATTGCTAATCTCCGCCGTGACCAGGACACAAGTTCCAAAGCCACTTGCCACCAGAGCCAACAGTATCCACGCGGGCGTTGGCAAGCCCGCGTACCCTGCGAATTCGATAAATGCTAACACCCCTGATTTAGTGACTCCAGCGAGCGCACCGAGTTGTAGTGCTCTCGCTGTCAGTGGGCTCCCATTGACATGCGCGGCGGTCGCCACTGCAGCTGGACCGGCGGCAGCGTTTACTGCAATGTCTAGCACAGCCAAGGCGAAGAACGTCCATACTAGAGTAAGGGACATGGTAAGTATTGAGTGGAGGCATGATGAAGTCACATGTAGGAAGTCATTCTGATTTCCTCTGGGTCCAAAACATGACACTTACTGTTAATAGCAGGATGATTGAGCTCGTCCATATCCATGGTGAGAATTGTCAGAAAAAACCAGATTCATATACTGAAATAGAAGCAGTAACGATTCACACAAGTCAAGATATATGCCTGGAGAACAGAATGAGAGTGGATGTCTTATAAGAAAATCCAACTTCTTAGCCAAGACCTGATAGATAGGCAAGCTCCCCCATTCCTCGCTGCCAAAAGCCTCGCGGGGTCATGTGAATGATGTTATAAGAGGCTGAAAAGTTTTAGGTCCCGTCTCTCACCGAAACAGGTATATCACGAAGCATTAAACGAAGGGCTGCAGTAATTTGATGATACAATTCCAGATTGACCAATCAAGAGGCTCATTTGCCGAAACTAAGTCCCTGGCGTTCCCAATGAGTCCTAGCGGTTCCTGCAGTAAGCCGTGCGGGCACCCCATGGGGCATCCGAAGGCGACCCAATCCCAGTGCGACTAAGAACATCTTGGTGGGCTCAGCCGCTGCCTTCCCGTATTCAATCCCTTGAAGAATGATGATTTGGGCTGGTCATCGCAGGAGTTCGTGGCGCAGGGCTACTGCTTAGCCACCTACGTGTCCGGGCAAATGCTTTTTTCCTTTTTCTCACTCTTTCGTCATGCACAGCGAGAGAGACTCGAAGAACGTGAAAGCGATAATGTATGCTTGAACCGAGACTAAGATATAGAGCGTCTCCCCCCTCCGCTCAGATCGTTTCGCTTGAATAATCATTGCAACGATCTTTGTGTGCCACCCAGGATGAGTTCAACAGCATGTATCATCCAGGCTAACCCCGATGTATCTGGGGCCGGAGTAAGTCATTTCTCATGCCGTCATTCTCCTCCATTTAGCTCCTACCGTGAGCAAAAGAACACCCAGCTAAACCATCACCTGCAGATCCGTATATCGATTTACACCCTCTGCCTAGGCGGGTCGATCGTTAGCTATCTACTCCGCGTATTTGCCCCAGGCGAAGACCAAGAAGAGTTCTCGCGAGGCGTGTGCTCCGCCCTCGGCTTGCAAGGCCTAGCCCTCCTCTGCACAGCGATTTACCAGACAGTGCGGGGCGACCTAACACTCTTCCACGCGATATGTGTCGTGCACCTTCTCGCCATACTTGGCATGGATTTGGTGAGCAAAGGCCGGTATGAAGGTCTCGGTCCATGGCGGCTATATTTCTTCTCCGCCATCCAGATTTTGGTTTTGGCGGCTTTCCTCGCTTTGAATGTCTATGTTTGGGTGACGGCGCCGCAATTTGGCAGCCAGCCCCTGTGCAACAAGGACACGGTTTATGTGGTCTTTGGAGTTAGCATCAAAGCTACGTCTCCCGTATTCCGGTATATCATTCTCGGAACATTGGGTGCGGTTGTAGCTGGCTATGCTCTTGTTTTCACTTGTATCTTACCGTGTCTGTGTGGGTACGCTGCGTACCGAAGACGGCATCCCGACGCTGGAAACAGGATTGAGGGCCAGAAGAGAGGCTGGATGAATTGGTTTATGGAGGTTAATCATCCTATTTACCAGGATCATCCCGAGCCACCCGAGAGGCTGCATGGCCAGGCGCTGCTCAACTTTACGCTGAACAAGGTCGCGTATTGTTCGTTCTGCATATACTTGATTGTGTCGCTGGAGCAGACTATCCATCGGAATAACCTCGACCCCGAAGAGAAAGGATGGACGTTTGGACAGGTTATTGCGATTTTCTTGTTGTTAGGTGTCGCCAATGAGCTGCTCAATGTTCTTATTGCGAGTTGGGATAGGAGGCAGGCTGAAGGTGCTCAGCAGCTGGTGCAATTTAGGCCGGGTACTGGGAACTCGGTGCATTCCTCATCTTCTTGATATGTTCATGTCCGTTACACCGCCGTGCAACAAGACGCTCATAATATTGCTGATATCTGAAAGATCATGAAGCCACGTTTTGGATCATACGAGTGTTTCTTAGCAATTGCCGTGAGCTCCGATCTCGCCTGTAACTTTAAATTGCCATGGTCAGTATACAAGAGGTGAATATTTGTGTCACCACATACTCCTAAGGTGGAAGCCTGCTGCTCAATGATGCCAACGGAAGGTTGTTAAGGCTAGAATTCGAATGTGCTGAGGTCGAAGTGACCCCGGCCCCGGGCAGTTATTCTTAAAAGGGAAGGCGCGCTGTGATGCAGAGCCAATTCGTTGTATGACATCGACTAATTTGTGCAGGACACGATATATATTCTATTTACAAACCCGAGGGTGTCAATCCAAAGATGAAAGATCCCAACCAAGAAGCGTCCACCTGGCGGCTCACTAAATGTTAAACATCTAACCAGTTTGCGCTCATTTCATAGTACTGTCAACTAGCTCGCGGTATATCTTCTTGAGATCGGCAATATCAGCGTTAAGTTCGTCAACCTGCTCGCTCTTCTCACCCAGCATCTCAAGAGTGGTCTGGTAGCGCTGATCAAGGTCTTCAAGTTCAGCTTCGAGCTCCTCCACGCGGGAATACGAGAGCTGCTTCTCTTCGAGCTCACGCATAAGGTCCACAACCTGTTGCCGGGCCTCGTCGCGCTGGGTCGTCACGCGGGCCAGCTCGTCCTTGGAGCCGGCGCGCTCGCTCTCTAGGCGGCGGACCGTGGCACTCATGCGCTCGACCAGCTGCACAGAAGGGCCCGCGCCGACAGTTGACTCGGAAATTATGTCGTTGATACCGCGGGATGGAGGTGCATGGGTGCCGCCGTACGCCGAAGGAGTGACAGGAGTGCCAGATTCAAAATACTCCTCCGGCTCAAAGGTGATGGAGGGCGCTGCCATGAATGACGGATTGGTGTTGATGTGTGGGGGAGAGAGCGTGGCTTGGGTGATTGAAGCAGGGTAGGAGTTTTGGCGAGGCGGCGTACCAATTTCCGGTGAGGTGAAAGCCATAGTAGATGAGCGCCGGCTAGGAGGGCGGAAGTCCGATGGCCCTGGGGTCATGGCGGCGTCGAGAGTGCTCGAACGCCGTAAAGATGCAACAGGTGATACTCCGCGTAGTTGCGACGGGGAATTCACTTGCTCTCTCCACTTGGCCCGCTCCTCCTCGAGCTTCTGCGCCCAAGTTGAGTCGCATGTTTTCTTCTGCTCGGCCATGTCCTTTTGCGTTGAGGCGAGGGCCTCTGTCGCTTTCTCGAGTTTGTGTTGCAGCTTCTGCAGCTCTTCCATGCGTTCCTCGAGCTTGCTGCTCAAATCGTGCTCGGCTTCTTTGGCGTTATCTAGTTCCTCTTCGAACTTCTTTAATTTCTGGTTCTACGGTGATGTCGGTTAGTCCCGTGTTACACCAATGCATGGAACTTTGTCTTACCATCTCTCGAATCTTCTTGCGAAGGTCAGCCTCACGTCGCCCAGCATCATCGCGTTCTTTCTCTACGCTAGCCAGACGTGATAGCAAAGATCCTTCTAGTGTATGCCAATTTCCACTTGCAGCAGCATATTGTGTTTGCAAGGTCTCGATCTGACGGAGAAGTTTGGCTTGGGTCTCTCCAGTTGCCCCCGATGAAGCTTCCTCTGCGCGGGAGCGAAGAGTTTCCATCTTACTTTCCAAGACAGACTGTTCGCCTTTCAATTCAGCCTCGAGCATTCGGGCCCTCTCTTTCTCTTGCTCCACCTTCTCCTTCAACTCAGTAATTTCCCTCTTGGATTTCTCTTCAGTGATGTCGCGCTCGATCTTCAAATTGCATAGCTCCTCGTCTAGTTCTGTCGCCCGCTGCCTCTCCAGCTCTAGAGCGTCAGAATTCGCTTTTGTCTCGGCGGTTTCGGCACGGGAAACGGCCCGACTCAATTGCGATTTCATCTCTTGCACAGTCTGGCTGAGCGCATTGCGTTCATTGGTAACAGCTTCTAAGTCCTTAGTCGACTTGGTCTGAGATGACAAAGACTCGGTTGCCCTCTTCTCTGCGGCCTCTGCCCGCTTGGCTCTTGCTTCGGAGTTGACTAAGTCTCGCTCAAGCTTGTCCGTCTTTCTCTTCATTTCAATCTGAGATTTGGTGTTTTCAGTAAGTTGCTGGCGCAATTTCTTGATTACCGTTCGGTGGTCCATTTCCGACTTAGACAGCTTCTGCCCTTCCTCTAGAAGCAATGCGATCTTCTCATCTTTCTCTAGGAGTTGTTTTTGCGCACTCCCCGGGGTAGCATTTGCTGCTGCATTTTTAGCCGATTCCGCAGCATCCTTAGCGAGGTATTTCAATTTCGACTGTAATGCATCAATACGTTCAATATAACCATGCATTTCTTCCTGCCATTGGGACTCGGCAGTCTTATGTTCAGCCTTCAGACGAGCGATATCCGGGTTTTCATTCTCCTCTGGTACCTCGGGCGATTCAACGCTAACCCGCGGACTATCACCCAAACCAATATCACTCAATACCGAATTGCGTTGCAAATCCGAAATTTCTTGACTGGCTTTGGCCGAGTCGGTTGAGGATTGAGCCACCTCTACAGAGATCCTGGGCGCGGAGTCTGCGACGCTGATGTCTGTTGAAACACGCGGTGATATTCCGGAGTCGTAGCTTATCCTCGGTGAGGCTAATTTATCTGCAATGCTGTCGTCATTTGGTCGCGAGATCTCGGAGTCTTCCACCGCACTATTCACCGATGCAACGCTGGAATCAATGTCCATACTTGACCGAGGTTCATTGCTAGGTACTGGGCTAGCAGGCGGTGATGAGACTCGGCTTTGAGGAGAATGGGAAGAGAGATTCGAGGCATTCTGTTTCACCATAGCTCGGGCTAGACGTTCCTGAAGCCGGTCATTTCTTCGCGCGGTCGATGAACTGCGGGATACCGCTGAAAGATGTTAGCCAGCTCGACTGAATCGCACATTTACTGAGGATTTCATACAAGAAGCAGGAGCCTTTGTCAGTGGTGCATCTCCGCCCTGAATTTCAGTGGGCTTTGCAGTAGAGTTGGTCTGGTTTCCCTCCTCATCCATCAAGATGAGATCCAGCCGAGACTCGACGCCGGCTACTGCCTGCTGGAAAAAAGAACCCACTCCCCATTTTGGCTTTTGTGCCTGCGAGTTCTGTGCCATTGTGGCAGAATTACTGTACTGGATATCGCGAACAGGCTGCTAAGCGGCAAATGCCTCGTGTCGCATTCGCATGGATTCGGTGGGGGCTGCGCTCGGACGTCGACTTGCGATTATCGTGGGGAACGTTGCAAAATTTCAGAATCAAGGCGACAATGATTTTGCTAGAAGTATTGAAGCCTAGGCGGCAATGGCAAGGACTTGCCGCGAGGGCGAATGAGGGAGACTGGCAGGATTAAGCCGGATTCGAAGTACTAGGCGGGAATGCAAACAAAGATTAAGACGCTGGTCCGATAAGACAGTAAGAACAAGGCAAATTATCGGCAGAAGAGTCTATAGAAACAAGAAAGACGATAGAGAAATAAGACGCGAGAAAAAAAATAGAGAACAGAAGACAAGTTGAGGCTATGCATTGAGATACCGTAGGTCTTGGCGCGGGCTTCCGTCATCCCCAAGCTCCCCCGTCTCTCTGGACACACCTCGAGTTTGTACCATTCACAGCCAGCGACGCTCATTTTTCTGGCTCAAAAACCCCCCAGATTACACCCACAATGTCACTGGAGCCACCCACCTACCTCAGCTCCCTCCAGAATAACATCCGAGCTCGGCCAATTCCGTGGGAGGGTGCCGTCCGGGCGGGCAACATCACCGATGACCACTTGAAGAAGATCAAGGCGGTGGATAAGGTGCGCAAGGAGCAACGCCGTCAGACGATAGAAGGAGATCTTGCTGGATACACAGATCTGTTGGCCGGCGGTGCACACGGAAAGAGTGTCTTGGACTCGGCCTCGAGAAGGACCGATATTGTGCAGTATATACTGGTGCTGGCCTCGGACTTGATTCAAGGTATAACCTACTAGCGGAGCTGAAGTTCTGAGGAATCATACTGACTCATATTAAAAAAGATGTGCCTGCTTTGGCCAACTCGCTTGTTTCTCACCCCGAACCGTACAAGCCCTTCCTACCATTCTTGCAGCACTCGGCAAACGCCGAAGACCCCATTCCTCTGCTCACGTCCACCTTCCTCACGGCGCTCGTGTCGCACAGTCTCGTTGCCTCATCTAAACCTGCACCCCGCGACAATGAGGCTCTTCCACAGCTCTACACCTATCTCTCTACCTTGACCAAGAATCAGGATAGTGGACTCCAGGATATTGGTGTCCAAGGATTCTCTGAGCTGCTAAGAACAAGCCGAGCCCGAGAAATCTTTTGGGCGCAACGTCAAGAGACCTTGACCCCCTTGATCGACACTCTTCGAGCTGCGGCGGGTGCTAAAGACAACGTCAGTAACGCAAGCACACTGGGAAGCAGCACTCGCAGCGTCGAGCCTGGTCTCGCCGGTGGTATTGGCCTTCAGCTTCTATATCGGGTGCTCCTTGTTCTATGGCAGCTTGCGTTTGAAGGCGCTCTCGTTGGTGATGAACTTCAAGAGTGAGTGATGTGAAGACAAGAGATCGAATATACACTCTGAGCTACTAACCCCACACAGGAACTATGAAATTATCCAACTGTACATCCACCTTCTGCGTCTCTCACCGAAAGAAAAGACCACTCGGTTGCTTGTTGCAACTCTGTACAGTCTTTGCTCCAGCAACCGGACAACTCTGCTACCCATCGCCGTGTTCCTTCGACTGCCCGCCCTCCTGACTAACTTGTCTGGTCGTCATCTGACCGATCCCGACCTGCTCGAAGATCTCAACGCACTCTCTTCCATGCTGGAGGAGTACACCAAGACACAGACCACCTTTGACGAATATGCCGCCGAAGTTCAGACTGGCCACCTCCGCTGGTCGCCCCCTCACAAGAACCCGACCTTCTGGAAAGATAACGCTCGACGAATTGTTGAGGAGTCGAACGGCGCTTTGCCCAAGAAACTGGCCGAGATCCTATCTAAGAGTTGGGATAACGACAAGCAGGTACTGGCTATTGCTTGCAGCGACGTAGGTAACTTAGTGAAGGAGGTTCCCGAACGCCGTGGGCAGTTGGAGCGACTAGGCCTAAAGACGCGGGTGATGGAACTGATGGTTGATCAAGATGAATCAGTACGGTGGGAGAGCTTGCACGCTGTCGGCGAATGGCTTCGATATACCTTTGAGGGCTGATCCATCAAAGAGGACTTTCCCGATATGTTGATGGGCTTACCAGGATGGACATATACTCTGGTTGGCATGTACTGTGTATTTTCTTGCCATGGCGCATACTCGCTTCTTTTTTTCCGGGGGAGAATATTAGAATCATACTTATCTATGAAATTCATGGCCCCTATATTCTGATACATATTCCAGTACTCTAAACGGTGGATATTGCGGTCGGCCGCTAAAGAACCCCAGACCTGCAAACACGCTGCGACAAGACAAGAGCAGGACCCTCGATCTCTCTCTATAGGATCTAATATCATGACTTCAACCCCTATCGCTGTTCCCTAGAGATTATAGATTACATTCGCCACGCGGGCGGCTTATCGGAGAGCTTTCCATTCCCCCGCAGGAATTCTTCGCCGAGAACATCATCCAACCGTTCAAAATCCACAGCACCCATGTCGAGATCCTTCACAGGTTGCAAGAGATGTAAGGCACGCCGACAAAAATGTGACGAGCTGAGACCGAACTGCGGGCGCTGCCAGACTGCAGGCGAGCAATGCCAATATGCAATGCAGTTGCAGTGGGGTGGACGGGCATTCTCGCGATCCCGGTTTGGTGCTTGCGTCGGGACAGGAGGCATGCAGAGACTCGGTATGTCTTTATAACAGAGGGACCTTGTACATAGTTCTGACTATCCCAGAATATTCACCAGGAGAGTTCATCTACACCACCAAGACGGCGGTGCAGTCAGCCAGCGCCAAAACCGGATCAGATCTCACCCTATCGCAACCCGTCGATCCCTTCTCGTCCTTGTCGTCCAGTCAAAAGGCCTTGTTGCATCATTTTATCAACGATGCCTCCCAAATCACCGCATGCCATTCGGGAATGCAGCAGGACATAACTCGCATGCTGATCCCAATGGCTCTTCAGACACCTTCTTTACTCTACGCTACCACCGCCTTATCGGCGATCCATATTCAAGCCCTACACAACCAGTCGGAGACCGTAAAGTCAGCACCGGATATTGCCCGCTTAATGGCTCTCAGTCTTGAACATTTCCGAACAGAACTGCAGAATCCCTCATCCAAGGATCCCGAGGCGTTGGTGGCCACGGCTCGGACGCTCTGTCTAGCTGAGATCCATTCTGGGGCGATCAACCCGAACTCATGGAGAGCACATGTTGACGGGGCGAGGGCATTGATGAGGGCATCTGACGCCGCTGGCGAAGATTCCCTGCGGTCTACAAGCGGTTTCCGGCGATATTTGGATCGTTGGTACTGGTCGATCGTGTCGCTTACGGCACTGACGGGCAATGGTCCACCCATTGGCGATATCTCTGACTTTGTCTCATCTGACTTGATGGGGTTGGGTGGGTCCACTGATTATTTAGATGACTATTGGGGTTTCAGTGTAGACCTTGCGGCTGTCTTTAGGCAAATCGGCGCTGCCGCTTGGCGAAGCCATCAAGTCGAGAAGGCTACCCAGGGCTTTGTTGCAGGAGAGGTTGATGACAGTGTTGAGAATGATGCCGCGTCCTTGGAGTTCGCAATTCGACAACTCATGAATCGTGACTCTAGCTCGCAGCCCTCTTTTTACCCTAGAGCCGCTGAAGGCTTATCTGCAGAGACCGCGCAGCAGCTCCTGCTATGCAATGAGGCATTCCAACATAGTGCGCTTATTCAGATCCATCGAAGACTTCGGAAAACACCAACTACATCGCCAGAAGTGCAGCAGTCGGTCCGACGTATCCTAGAGTGCACCGCGCAGATTGGGCCATCATCAGGTCTCTCGCCTTGGGTGATGCTAACGACACCAATCTTTATTGCGGGCTGCGAGGCGCGCGGTCAAGATCGAGATACAGTCAGGCAATTACTGTCGTCGTTGCATGACACTATCCGCGTCCCGAACGTTCTCCAGTCACTAAGATTCCTCGAGCAGTATTGGTCTAACCAACTCAGCGAGGAAGAAGACTGGAGCCATTTCCTCGGTAAGGTTTTCTCTTAGCCGTTTCTTTGTTCATGCTAACATCCGATAGAACGAATGCAGTTCGATTTCATCCCTTACTAAGGAGATCAGGCCAGAGCCTGTTATGCCTCACGTGCAATGATTCATGTTTTTGAGCTTGGGTACTATCTTCTTTCGTTACACTATAACTTTTCGTGTGAGCAAATCGGTGTTGGCAGGGGTTTTGGCGAGCGCATGTACCTATTAAGCCATGGAGTTTGGAAGTGGCAATATTGTTTTTAAGCAATTGTACATGAAATGTCTTTGTTCTTTCGAAGCTAACACTTTTTATTGGGCTCGCCTATATTTAAATATCTGAGTATTAGTTCGACCAAGGAATTGACCACATGGATATTGAAGTAAAAGGCGCCAAGCCTAGGAGATATATAGACGGAACTAAGCAGCTAATCTCCGCATTCGGACATAACAACCAAATGACGCGATGAGTCAAAAATGATAACATTGGAAGCTGGTTTGCATCATCGAATCTCAAAGCTTCATGATCCCGAGTCTAGATAGGTCAGATATAGCATATTCTAACCTTATACGGGTCGGAGTCGGGTCAACTCATATACGAAACCCCGGGATGGCGTCTACGAGCCATTATGATTCGCGTAGACTCGAACCTACACTCCATGGATCGTATAACCTTAGCATTATAAGATTACCTATCAATAGATGCGTTCGAATTCTTTGAAATCAAGTATTCTGATTCCTAATACACAAACTTTAGTCATTCAAATTCAAATTCGAAAACGTAGTGGTGCTTGGGAAGTATATAGTCTGTTATAACTACCTCTCAATAGGAGCTTGATTTGACAGTATCTCATCTCGTTCGGTCCCACGAACCTAAGGGTGTCTTTCTCGTCCTTATCCAATGGAATCTGTCATTCGAGAGGCCCCATTCGGGCAGCTTGTTCGTCTCTTGACGAACAATAAATACTTTCAATACCCCGAAGAAAAGCCCGACTTCAAGCTTCCCGACACATGGCTTCAGTTGTTGAACTCTAGGGATGAAGGTAAACAAAAGAACGCCATCCGGCATGACTCCAACCGAAGCCATGAACACAGTGAGCCCCTAAGCCGGTCCTCTACCCAGGCATCCATGCAATTCACCGAAGCTCGCCTCGAGGCCGACGAAGAACATGAAATCGAGAAAGTCGAATCCATCCCCATCGCCCCCAAGAGAACAAAAGACGGTTCTATCCTCGTTGATTGGTATTATACCGATGATTCGGAGAATCCACACAACTGGTCCAACCTCAAGCGCGCTCTCATCACTATAGTGATCTGTCTATATACCTTTGTCGTGTATACCACTTCTGCGATTTACACGTCCTCAACAGAAGGTGTCATGAATGAGTTTGGTGTGAGCACATTGGTTGCTACTTTGGGTCTGTCACTCTATGTTCTAGGGTATGGTACCGGGCCATTGATCTTCTCTCCACTGAGTGAAATCCCCGTGATTGGACGTAATCCAGTCTACATCGTCACGATGTTCCTTTTCGTGATAATCTCCATCCCAACAGCTTTTGTGGGCAACTTCGCCGGCCTGATGGTGCTGCGATTTCTGCAAGGTTTCTTTGGCTCGCCCTGTCTCGCATCTGGAGGTGCTTCTATCGGAGATATGTATAGCCTAATGTCCCTGCCTTATGCCATGATGGCTTGGGTTTCTGCGGCATACTGTGGACGTAAGTTTCCTTCCCGTTTATATATCGTTATATACACCAAATAACGTTACCTATACTAACACTATACAGCCGCTCTCGGCCCTCTTCTCAGCGGCTTTGCCGTCCCAGCCAAAGGCTGGCGTTGGTCCCTCTTCGAATCAATCTGGGCCTCCGCCCCGGTTTTCATCCTGATGTTTATTTTCCTCCCGGAGACCAGCAGCGCAACAATACTACTCCGACGCGCTGGCCGTCTACGCAAAATCCACAATAATAGCCGCTTCATGTCGCAGTCCGAACTCAACCAGCGCAATATGCATATCTCAGACATTGCCATCGACGCTCTGATCAAGCCCCTGGAAATAACCATCAAAGATCCCGCCGTCCTCTTCGTCCAGATCTACACAGCCATCATCTATGGCATCTACTACTCTTTCTTCGAGGTCTTCCCCCTCGTGTATCCAGCCGACTACAACATGAACCTCGGCCAGATCGGTCTAGTCTTCCTATGTATCATGGTCTCATGCATTATCGGTATTGCCGCCTACGCGAGCTACATCCACTTCTGGATGCACCGTCGCATCCGCCGCTCCGGCTTCCCCGTAAATGAGGCTCTTCTTATCCCCGCGCTGCCTGCCTCTTTTGGTCCTCTGATTGGCCTTTTCTTATTCGCCTGGACGGCTCGTGCGTCTATTCACTGGATTGTCCCCACCATCGGTATCACTATCTATGGTGCCACGGTTTTCGTCGTCATGCAATGCATCTTCATGTATATTCCTCTCACCTACCCCAGGTACGCGGCTAGTCTATTCGCTGCGAATGATTTCTTCCGCAGTGCACTTGCATGTGGCAGTGTGCTGTTTGCGCATCCGCTCTTTGGGAATCTGGGCGTTGCTCGAGGTGTCAGTCTTCTTGGTGGACTGAGTGTTATCGGTATTATCGGTATTTGGTTGCTTTACTTCTATGGTAGTAGGCTTCGTGCTTTGAGCAAATTTGCGATCTCGGATGAGGTTGAATGATTACCTTGTGGTTTAATCACGATTTTTGACGAAAAGTTATTGCAGGATATTTGTTGATAGCGATATACGGAAATTGTTGGAGAGGATGAGACAAAGAGCGACGTTACATTAACGATGAACGTGAATCTCGATTCTCGTCATGAATAATGAGAATCTTAATATTTAATACTGTGAGGAGCTCTTTGTCTCTTGAATAAATATTGTTAAGCCTCATAGAAAGATGAGAGAAGTTGATCCGGATCATAATATCCTCAAGCTCACCAATTACGAGATACCCTCATCGTTATTTCTGTGCACGCCTGTTTGCAATGAATGGCGCTAGCTATTCTACCTGAAAAGTCAGTGATTACCAAAGTTTAATAGTATTGCTTTTTCTATGAATAGGTTGGCACTAGTAGGACCAATTGTTGGCACAGAAATATATTATTAAAAACGCGTGACTTTGAATAGATTATTCCAGAAAGATCATTTGAAACCATAATTGGTGTTACCAATCTTCAACTTGGGTTTACCCACAGAGAGAAGTGATATCCTCAGGGACGTAGGTGCTCATGATAGAAATAAGCTTCGAGAGAGGGACCCAGTCAAGAAGACCGTGGATGCTTCGTACGGGATGGCCACTATACAGGACCCGGGCGTAGAAAGACTTTGAACCCTTCCTATCTTTCGTCTCCCTGTAAAACTGTTAGAGAATTCCCGTATTAGAAAACAGTCTGACTTACCAAATTTCGAAAGCAATGTTGGATGCCATAGCAGGCCAGCGAAGCGCCTCGATTCCCAAAGAACCGAGGATAGGACCAATATCTCCATCATGAATAAAGGTGTGGCTGTAATCAAGGGAAGACTTTCCGCTCAGGACAGCCTGCAGACGAGAAACGATCTCGCCAATAAACAAGCCCTCGACAAGCTGGATGTACTTGACTACATCCGGGTTCGTGCGCCAGTAGTAGTTCCACTCCCAATCACCGGCACGGAAGACCTCCTGAGCCATCTGCTTCGTGACACAGGTTGAGGGATCTGACAGACTGCAGGGCAACTCATAGCCATTGCAAAGACGGCCCTGGAAGTTATCCGAAAAGTGGTCAAAGGTATTCTGCCACGAACTATCTGTCGCGCCCAACATAGAGCCGAGCTTCGAGCGCAACTCCGCGGTAACATTCATATGCTCCTTCCACTGTGTGGTAGACTGCAGACTAGACAGAGTAGAGCTGATAGCAGAGCAGGAGTATCCCTCGTTGACAGTATCAACGGATGAAACCATTTGGTGCAGGGGCAGGGCTCCCTCGTAGTGAGGCCACATGCCACGCAGGACCGCGCCAGCCGAAGCTTGGGTGAGAACGGACTCGCTGGAGCGGAACCAGACTCGGTTGTTTGGCTTGGCAGGGATCAAACCAAGCTTCTTGCCGTAGACAGACCACAGGTCCTTGCCGTGCTGATATCCGTCCTGGACTCCTCCGATGGTGATCTGAGGGTACTGACAGGTGCCGTTCACGCCGGCTGAGAAGGGGTTGGTGGGGTCCTGGTATGTCTGCGCATACATTGGCATGGGCTGGATGCCGCTTGCGCTGTTAGGGCCTGCGTAGAGATACGGGCGCACATTGTCGCAGTGATACTCTTGGTTCTGGGAAGGGGTTAGCTTAGGCTTAGAGTCGATCTGAGAGTTGCTTACCTCCCCACCTGGGAGAATGTTGTACGGAGTTCGTCGCTGGTGACGCTGCAGATACTCCAGGTACACCAGCTTTCCCTTAGTTGACCCCTTGGTTAGAGCTTCGGGCAGTTCATATTCCGCTGAACGAGGGTGCGGCATCGAACAGTAGTCATAGATGCCGTAGGGGCTGCCCCCGGTCGGTCCATTGGTTGGAGCTTCATAGATACCACCATATGTCCCAATTGAGCTGTCGCTGATGTATGACGTATCATTCAGCGTTGGGGGATAGAAGGTGTCCACCGGGGTGTGACCCAGCACAGAGGCTGCCACAGAAAGCAAGACGAAGCTGCGCATGATGGAGATGGGCTTGAGTGAGGAGAACCAAGACTGGCGAAGGCCTTCAAATATATAGATTTCCGAAGCCATCACCACCAGGCCCAAACTGATAAACAAGATGAAGCCCCACCGCATTGGAACCAGTGGAGATTGGAAAATCGGCGCACGTGGGATCGGCAGGCCAACCTGAGAGGTGCTAGCAACCACGTGGCTCGGCATATAGTATATAACCAACTTTCGGCTAAACGATTGTTCTCAACGTCGTGTCGTCCGATCGAGATGCAATTTCCCGATGTTTCCGATTTCGGGTCTCGGCATTACCCCTGCATAATCCTGCCGATATCAGATGCTTAGCAAAAACTATATAACACTATATATTCCAGTCCCTTTGATCAGGATATTTGATTATCGGTCGACTCATCTCTCACTTTTACAATGATGTGGAAGGCTTCCCTTGTTATGGCCATGGCCATCCCGCTGGCGTCCGCCGCCCTGGCGGATTACGCACTGCATACAGTCCTTGACAATGCTGCTCCGATCTTTGGATCGTACAAAAAGGTCACAGGGGGAAAGTCGGAATGGATGAAGAAATATCACGACAACACTTTGCTCGTTCATATGAACATCCCCGGCACCCACGACAGCGCCACGGGAAGTTACAACCAGGCGACGCAAGATGCCCTTCGGGGCATTACAGATCTCAACCAGGTCGTTGTTCCGGTGCCAGAGGCATTGACGTGCCAGGATGTGAATTTCATCAACATGCTCGACATGGGAATCCGGGCATTTGATCTGCGATATGCTTTCGATCCAACAAACACCACTCTCATCTTCTATCATGCACAGGCCCTGCTGTCGGAGAAAGCTAGTGTCAATGATGTGCTCTTTGGCTTTTACAAGTGGCTGGATGATCACCCCTCGGAGACCATTTTCCTGTCATTCCAGTACCAGGGCTCGACAGCTCTGTACGCCGAAAACAACGCGGCTGTGCAGTTGGAGCTCTTCAATACCCTCACCAGCCCCGCAGCGCGCCATTATTTCAAGCAAACGAAGGATGAATTGGGTACCTTGGGCGACGCACGTGGCAAAATTACTCTCATGCGCCGTTTCGACCTGGACCAGCTTCCGGATAACTACACAGCCGCACTTCCCGGCCTGCACTTCTCGCCCAATCTCTGGAATGATAACGGCGCCGCCATCGACCTGGTGTACAACTCGGACAAGAACTTGACCGCCTACATCGAGGACTACTACCAGCCGCTCACGCCCACTGGGTCCAGTGCGGTTGAGAACATCAGGTGGAAGTACAACGCCACGACGGAAAACATCCACAAAGCCACTACCCAGCACCCGAACAGTCTCTTCTGGACATGGGCGTCTAGTAACAATATCGTCAACAACCCTCCCGATTGGCCTCGGATCATGGCACTTGGAAACGGCACCCACTATACACCAGCTGGTGGAGTTAACCAGCAGCTAGTGCCTTTCCTGAAGAAGCAGAAAGGCAAGCGTGTGGGAATCGTGATGTTTGATTTCTTTGAGCAGCCCTCCAACCTGGTTGATACGCTTTTGGATTTGTGAAATACAAGATGAGCGAGATGTTGTTAGGAGAATAGTCAATGACCAAGCTTAACCTTGGGATCAATAGATTGAACAATGTGGAGCCGAATAGATTACTTAAACTTTCCTCGTCTATCTGTGCTATAAACTCCACAATTAAAACTGGATATTCCAAGACCCATCGCTCGCATCACGCACGTGGACACGCCCCCATCAGGTTTCCCTACCCGCACGACCCTTCCCAAGGAACAATCAAATTGCAATGCCAATCAAATCCGATACAATGCCCTTGTCCTCCGCTGACGTCAAGCTCTCAACTAGGCTTGCCCAGCTTGGTATATTGATACTGCGCCCAGTGAGGAACCCCATCTTCCAAGTTTCCCACTTAGTCGTATCCAAAGAGCACATGAGGCTAGCACAACGGGCGAATTCATGTTTCTCCAGAATGTCCTCCTGGTCAAGGCAGATGCATCTCCACGCATCATCCACCTTATACACATAATCCCAGATATCATAACATTGGCTGTATTTGATTTTTTGCAACTCAAGCCAGCCAGATCGCACCAAACTCCAATCAGAAGGTTTGCAGTGCTTCTCCAGCTTCTCCCACATCTGCTGTGGGTTTCGAATGTTGCGAACAATCAGCCTGGTCGTGGCAGATAGGTTTGTATTAATGATTTCCCGCGCCGCCTCATGCAGGCTGTCTAATTGGGGTTCCAAGTGATGTGCTTGAGAAAGTTGGCCGATTTTGCCCTCAACCAAATCCAAAAGAAAATTGCGGCTCAGAATATGCCTCATTTTGCGGCTCCAGGCGCGGTAGTCGGAGCGGCCGCGCAAAGGGGGACAATCGCATTCTATTGGGAAATTATCATCACCGAATGCATTTCTTAAGCTGAAGGTACGTTCGATCAAGGTCTCTGCTTCGGTAATCTGTCGGTCGCTGGGGCTTTCGGGTGCGACAGTCATCTCAGTGGAAATCTGCTCGGCGGAATTGACCCGGCGTCTTTTTGCGGGCGAGGTTGAAGGTTCATCTCCCGGAGGTCCTTGTCCAGAGAGGGATCGTTTCGTCAATGGTGTTGAGGAGGCCATGCTGTTTATTCTTGACGCGCAGACCTAGCTTGGTGGATAGGAATTCTCAACACAGCAGGTCAGGACAGGGCAATGATAATCGATAAGGAATGCTGTGAATTTTCATAGGATAAGTATTGAAATATTGAGGTATGACATAGGTAACTATCACCACGTCGAGCAAGGAGACCACCGTTTATATGTACCTAGCCCGACGCCAGAAATATTCACTTCCAGAAAACTGTTTGCTCAAATATGCAGCCCTACATTCTTTGGAAAATCCAGAAACTTGACATTTTAGACATAATTCCCCCTTTTCAACTTCTCTGGATAGCACCTACCGCATGTGCTATCGAGTCTCTCGTGGCAAGGTAACAGCTCGAGTAACTCCGTTGTATTATAGGGCACAAAGAGGATCGATTTCGTAGATGTACCAAAAGCTCCAAAGACCGTGCTTGTTCTTTCTTCCCTGTACTCACATACATTCCGCACAACTTCTCAGAACTCTAAACCTCTCTCACTGAATACCTACCTCGGCTTGAAAGGCCAGAATGCCAGCAACTGCAACGTCTACAAATGCAAAAGGAGGAGCAAAAATAGTACTCGCCGCGCTACCAGCCCCGCTTGATGCTGAGGTAGCTGTAGATGTACTCTAAGCTGATATACCGCTTGAACTAGTGGAAGTAATGCCGGTGGACCCTATAGGAGATAGGAGAGTTACAGGTAAAATTCGATGTCATGAGGCAGAGGTCACGGTTGGTGTAGTTGGTGGTAGAATTTGACCCATCATGTTGCTCGTCATCGTGATGTTATTGAGGAAGCGCATGAGTGCGTTCCTGTCATGGCAAGAGCGATGGAACAAGAGAGATGAAGAGTGTAAAAATGGAAAGAGCGTTCGATGAAAAGCAGGCGAAAATTTTTGAAGCTAGCATATGATCTACATCATGATGGCCATAATCGCTCATGTGTCATTTGGTAGAAAAAGTATATCTCATTGAGTTTCAGAAACAAGGGCTATGTAATGCTTGACCCAGGGCATGATCTTATCTGACTTGGCACATCAGTGAGGTGGGCCGATCACAATAAAGCGGAGAGAAAAGGCACCAAAATCGGGCAATATTGTGGGGTGGATGACAAATGCTGCCGGAGTAGCCTCGGCTCGTCATGACGTCATCGAGAGAGGGCCGTAGCTCCAACGAAGATAAAATACCGCCAGTCTGCTTGTTGGAAGTCCACGCCGCAATCAAAGTCGTCTGATTGATTGGGTCACCTTATAATAAATATTAACGTATAATAGACCAGCAAAAGAAAATGCCCCCCCCTCGCAAAGCTCTCATTGCAATCACCTCCGCTCATGCTCCTCTGTACCCGGAGGGCAAAGAGACTGGTAAGCCTCTACTTCGAAAGACAGCTCAAGATCAGAAATAACGGCAACTTGACTTAGGCTTGTTTATCACTGAAGCTTTGCACCCTTTCCTTGTCTTCAAGAAGGCAGGATTCGATGTCGATCTAGTGTCGGAGACCGGATCTTACCAACCCGACTGGCTCTCGCAGCAGAAGGACTGGCTTAACGATGAAGACAAAGCTATCTGGGAGGATCACTCCAGTGAATTCCGCTCTAAGCTTGATGATCTCTTGAAACCGAGTGATATCAATTCCAGCAACGTAAGTCTCCTTTACGGATACTTGGAACCCGAGCTGAGCATTACTAAATCAGTATGGCCTATTTTTCGCTTCGGCTGGTCATGCCTCTTTGATCGACTACCCAGAAGCCAAGGGGCTACAGAGCATTGTATCTAAGATGAACACCGACGGTGCTATCATCTCTGCTGTGTATGGGTAACTGCACCTCCGAGCTAAACATATTTCTAATTCTGATTAGGTGCCATGGCGGTGCAATTTTCCCAGGAATCATTGATCCCAGTACAGGAAAGTCGATTATCGCTAACCGAAGAGTGACTGGCTTCACTACTCAGGGAGAGGAGGAAGAAGGTGTTCTAGACACCATCAAAAGCTGGAACCGGCCCACCATTGAGGCCTCCGCTGCAAGCTCGGGAGCCACATGTGAGTTCGATGTCCAAACGTCGATTTTTTGTATGTCTGACACGACATTAGATGTCTCTCCTCCTGGCCCTTGGGACGCTTTCACTATCACCGATGGGCGCCTCGTGACTGGTGCCAATCCCGCAAGTGCGCATGTGACGGCTGAAGCTGCGGTGAATGCGTTTGATGCTATCTAAAGCCTAGATCACTTGGGAAACGCAGGATGCCCTCTGTTACCCAGGTAGTAATAGCAAATATAGTATCATCCATTCTCATTACAGATCCCAGCTATATCGTAGGTGTATATTAACTTCACGGTAGCTTTGAGCGTTCAAAAGCCTCATCGGTTTTGGAAGTGGACACCAACTCGCGCGAAGAACCTGGATATGTGTGAACCACAAAAGTGAGATAGTTATGTAGTTCACCCCCAACAAATCGCTTAGTGGTTCACATGTCTTCGCGAGTTGGTGTCCTTTTCGTTCTTGGTCTTCGAAAAGATATGGTGATTATGAACAGCAATCTGGTCAGCCGTGATGAATTAAAACTAGATGCAAATGTATCACTGAAGATGTATGGAGGAGGATGATAGAGGAAAGGGAAAGGTGGGTCTTGTTGTGGGGCTGCTTTAGGGGTAGTACTAAGCCTTCTTAAGGTTGTATAAACTACGTAAAAAGAAGATATCCATAAAAGGTACATTTAAGAAGACCATTGAAATGACTACTGAAGCCATGTTATGCCTTCAGTTATTCCTATATATATCGAAAAAATGATTTCTACATTCGACCAATATGATTTTAAATGATATGATACGAAAGGGCTCAAGCTAGATCAAGACAGACATAGCATGGACCTACTCTCTGTCCTGGTATTTTTGGCAGCAATGAGAAAAATATTGATTGGCAAATCTGGAAGACAACTAAGGCTTGATCTGCTCACTAAAATTTGGAATAAATGCTCTGACATCATACAAGTTTGGAAGTTTGGAAGCTTGATAGTGAAATGCGGGAAGCTGGACACACTGAGGTATAGCATTTCCGTTGTAGTTTTGAGTTTTGCGAGCTACCTAATCCTCTCCATAAAATATCAAGGAAGTTCAATTCCTTCTTTCTCTGCTGTCTGTAAGATGTATTGCTTGACCTGGATAAACACAACATAAATTAGCCATTCTAATCCAAGTGGATACTTATTTATGGCGAGGTGCTTACCTTATCATCTGGGACTAGCTGAATCGCCAGTCGACCTTCATTGTCTCTTTTTGCCGCCTCTGCTCCTGACTTCAACAAAAAGATCGCAGCGGGCCCATGTCCTTCAGAGATAGCGTGATGAAGTGCCGTTAATCCGTCACCATCCGTTGCATTGACAGGACTCTTACCCTCTTCCAAGAGGAGCTTCAAGATAGGCACAGACCCTACTGCGGCTGCTCTGTGGAGGGGCAGTTGGCCACGTTTATCCTTGACTCTGGCGCTGCATTTATTGGCAAGCAAGGTGCGGACGGTGGAAAGATTGGCCTTGGAACTGGCGAAATGCAGCGCATTCTACTAGATGGTAAGTTCATGTACATCCAGTAGCCAAATTCGGGTCTCAGAAAGCTGACCTGTCCAGTGTGACTTTTGATAGAAACATCGGCTCCTTTTCGCAGTAATAGGTCGATCGTTGCGTCGCCTGCGGCATCTTTCAGGCTAGCTGCAATCATCAGAGGCGTCCAGCCGGATCCATCCTATGCTGATTTAGCAAGTTTATATGACGATGGCTAGTCAATTTTGAAAAGGCTTGGGCATTCTTTTCGAAGACAGAATAGCGATACTCACTTCTACGTCTGGGTCGAAGTCCTTCATAGCGACTAGCAATTCCACGACCGGGTGTCGGTTGTAGGCCACAGCCCAGTGGATTGGAAGACGCTCATCGTCATCTTTCACGTATGCGGATTTTGGGTTTGCCTGTTTCGATGATTAGCCTTGTTCTGGGAGATCGAACAGTACCAGCTCGAGCTTGATGTTGCGGGGCAGCCTCGGCCCTAGGTGGAGCACAACTCACATTGAGCAACGACTCGACAACCTCATCTAAAGAAATCAGATTAGTGCTTATTTAATACAAAGAAGGGTCAAACTCTCACTTCTTCCTTCTCGGGCAGCCTCGTGCAGAGGGAATTTCTGATCGGAATCCATGACGACTTTGGAGGAAGAAGAGTAATATTACGATAAGAGCTCCGATAAGCCGGGCGGCTGAGTCAGTAATATTGAGCCTCGTGATCTCCCGAAGAGGGTAAAATTTGGCCAAAATGAATGTAGGTATCAATTTACTGCTCTAAAAAGATTGAGTAGAGAATATATTCAGTTGGAGGGCGCATTTGACTCATGTAGCCGTCGTTATATATTTGGTAAATCAGGCTAGAACGGGAACTAGCAGTTACAAGATTCGCTACAAAGTAGGTAAACCCCACAACCCACAACCCAACAGGCTATTATTATTGTTATAACTTGTTATAAATGGTCTTATGAAAGCTCATTAATGAAGATATTCATATGTCTTTCAATAATTAAGAACTGATTATCTGAATAAGAACACCCGGTTCACCGCCCTCTAACCTCACCGCCCGTTTTAGCCGGATATAATTGTTGGCCAATTATGGCGCCTCAGGCACGAACATCCGTTGCAACTTCGATCCAAAGATTCATGCACGTCCTTGTACCATCTTCAACCATATCTTGTCTCGCAGCTACTAGAGACGCAGCGTCGGTATTCTAATTCAATCAACTGCACTTTTAGAACAAGTGCCGAGACTGACCCTCCGGACTCGATTGCAGTCACGAACTAGCCACAGGCTTTTTTCATCGCGCGCACCATCGAAGTGTGATTCTTTGGAGCTCTCATCCTTCAAAGCAGACCGATTTATCTCACCCCCCCCCACATCAGTTCTTTGCACACACAAAATGGACTACAGCGCACCCCATTCCGCCGATGATGCCGTGCGCATGTCCGCGAAGCGGACCGCCGAACTCTTCGGTGCCGAATACCTGATGGTCACACCTTCAACCCTCACAGACGGCTCAATTGGCGTTTCCTACCGACGGAAGGCGGAGTATGAAGATATTACCGAGCTACCACGATCTCTCGCCGAGAAACAGGCGAAAGCTTCAGCCGGTCGGACAAAACGGCCGAGGATTCAGGCGCAGACACCCGCAGACGGTAGTGGCTCATCCATGTCACTTGTGAGGCGGCCATCGGGCACGGGAGTAGGAGCTGAGGACCAGCCTAAGAGTTTGGTTCAGAGACCGTCAGCCACCAAGCAACAGCGGCCCGAGTGGCACGCGCCTTGGAAGCTGATGCGCGTTATTTCCGGACATTTGGGATGGGTGCGGGCTTTGGCAGTGGAACCAAACAATCAGTGGTTTGCTAGTGGAGCAGGAGATCGCACAATCAAGATTTGGAGTTTGGCGACGGGCGCATTGCGACTCACTCTCACTGGCCACATCTCCACCGTTCGTGGCTTAGCAGTGTCACCCCGGCACCCGTACCTTTTTTCATGCGGTGAGGATAAGATGGTCAAGTGTTGGGATCTGGAGACAAACAAGGTCATTCGACACTACCACGGTCACCTCAGCGGTGTATACACACTTGCCCTTCACCCTCGTCTGGATCTGTTAGTCACAGGAGGTCGTGATGGCGTGTGCCGAGTCTGGGATATGCGGACGCGCAGCAACGTACACGTTCTCAGTGGACACAAAGGCACTGTCGCCGATATCAAGTGCCAAGACGCCGACCCTCAGATTATCTCCGGCTCGCTGGACTCCACAGTCCGGTTATGGGATTTGGCCGCTGGCAAGAGCATGGGCGTTCTGACACACCACAAAAAGGGTGTTCGCAACATCGCCATCCACCCCTCCGAATTTACATTTGCCAGTGCCAGTACCGGCAGTATCAAGCAGTGGATGTGCCCCAGGGGCGATTTCATGCAAAACTTCGAAGGTCAGAACTCTGTCATCAACTCTCTGTCTGTCAACGACGAGAATGTTCTCTTCTCTGGTGGTGACGATGGTTCCATGTCCTTCTGGGATTGGAAGACTGGTCACCGCTTCCAGTCTACGGAAACCACTGCACAGCCCGGCTCTCTTGAAGCCGAAGCCGGTATCATGGCTTCTACCTTCGATCGTACTGGCTTGCGTCTTATCACGGGCGAAGCGGATAAGACCATCAAGGTCTGGAAGCAGGACGAAGACGCTACGCCGGAGACTCACCCTCTGACCTGGGCCCCCACTCTCGGTCGACAGCGGTACTAGAGGGATGACCAGCATCACTGGCATTCGTACCCTCCGTTCCGATTTCTCAATACCCTGTATTTATTTTCCTTTTTTGCCATCAAGTTTTTATCGGCACCATGCGGAGTTAAGCGCGGTCTGGAAGATCTTTGATCTTAAAATATTCAAACATGTAACCATCGGGACAAATTTCCTCGGAACGGTTTGTTTCATGCTCTGAAAGAAAGAGTCATAGAGTTTTGTATGATACAAACCCCAATTGAGCCAAACGATACCCTTGACAATCGACCCTGCTAGACAACACGTACAAGTAGCCTCTACGGTCTAGAGTACAGAAGACACAGCTGGACTGAACGGGTATCATATGCAAACTATATTACACTAACTCTGGATAATGCGTATCGTATCAAAAATCCCCAAAGACAAGCCTGACCATCACCGCTCAATACCCAAACCAAAGCCCTTAGCCTCCGCATCCTCCCTGAAAGCGGACCTGACATCTTCCGCTGCAACTCTGAGCCGAACTTTACTACTCCGGTCGCCGCGAGTGGGGATCGTAGTACCCCCGAGCACGCTTTTAGAGCCAGAGCCTTGCTCCAGTGCCAGGACACCCGAGTTCATGAGCAACATAGCTGCATAGCCCAGGCTCCGCACGCGAGCAGTGGGGCCTCCGCCCAGTAGGAAATCTTTCACGCCGGCGCCTGCGGCTCCAGCAATGGCGACGGCTGCATCGGCGATGCGGCGGGCTTCGTCAAGGACGTCGCCAAATGTAGATTCCGAAATGCCAGTTCGGTGGACGCGGGCTAGTAGGGCAGCGAGGAAGAGCTTCCCTGACAGCGGGAGGCAGCGCAATGATTGTTGGAGTGGAGTTGATGTAGCTTCGTGAATAGCTTGCTTGATAGTGGCGATAGTGACGCGCCCCGGCTGACCCTTTGCAGGAGGTTTAGCGATGGTTGATTCTCCGGCTGCTTTGACTGCGACAGCCTTGTTACGCCGGCCGGGGGTTTTGCTGGGCGTAGGAGGCAATGATTCTGTCTCGTCTTTGGCCTCATCCGCGGCAGCCGCCTCATCGGCTGCTTGCTCGGCGATTTCAACGGCCCGACGGCAGATGTCTAAGGCTCGTCGAGCATCGCCACTGACAGCGGCTACTTTGCGACTTGCGAATTGAACGGCGTCTGGGTCAACGATATTGCCCGGTACACTGGCCAGGCGGGTACTGATGATTTCCATTAGATCTGTGTGACGGTATCCCGGGAATGTGATACGGGTTAAACCGAGACGACTGGATATTTTGTTGCTTAGGGTTCTTTCAGGGAGATCCATGGTGTTTGCAACAGCCAGGACAATGAGGCGCGAATGGCGGAGAGCAGGCCAGTTGAAGAAGTTATACATGACAGACTGATTCTTTGTGACAAGCTGATCCAATTCGTCCATGAGCACAACGCAGGAGACTCGACGAGGGGAGGGATTTGAGAATTCTCTTTCGAGAAGATCCAATGCGTGGGAAGGTGATACTCGGTCGCCCTTCAAGGCTTCCCATAGTAAGGAGTAGGATTGATGCGGGTCCGTGACTTTCATGCCGTTAATCTCGACAAAGATGAAATCGTCCATCTCTTCTGCATGCACGGCACCGTTTAGCTGCGCAACCACCTCACGCACTGTGGCAGTCTTGCCAGTGCCCGGAGTACCAGAGATATAGATACAAGCGCCTGTGCCTTCCATGATCGCAGCGCTAAGATGGTTGTATACAGTGTTGAACTCGGTCTTCCGGCACGGTAATGAGTCTGGAACAGTGGAGACGTGTAGTAAATTCCGAGCCTGACGGTAAGGAGAGTCAAAATGCGTGGGTGAGAGGACACGGGTACCCAGAGGAGTAAACTCAAGTGGTTTTTTTACGACAATCCTGATACATGTTAGTCTTATTTTATGACACACATTCAATCTCGCTGTTTCCTACCGTTTATGGGTTGGGGTCATCAGGGCCTTCTTTCGCTGTGATTGTGGCGTGGCATTCGTTGCTGCTAGTCGTTGTTTCTTTCTCGGGGTCGCAGGCACCGTGATCTCTTTGGTATCGACATACTGTAATGGTCCAAATCAGCGCTGGTTTGCAGTTGGAACCGTGTGGTTTAACTCACTTCATCGTCCGCAGCCTTGCGTTTCCTGGAAGCCTTCAAGCCATCCCTGACCCAGCTGATCAGATCTTGGATGTTGTTTTCGTTGTACATCTCCTCCCAGACAAACTCCTCGGTGTACCGTCCTTGAACCTGGTTCACGCCTCGTCGACAGACAATGCACTTGTTATATTCCGCCAATTCAGTCTTGTTCTTTGGAGGTCCATTCGGGTATTTGGCATTGAAGATACTCTGAGACATGACTGCCCCCTTCCCGCTGATTGATGTCAAGGGGTTGCTGTTGAAATCGAGTGTGATGTACTGTTCGTTGGGCAAGGCATCGGTCCTGCGCTTGTTCCTCGTGCCCATAAATTCGTCGGGGGATGCGAACCACATAATATTGGCGGATTTGACAACCTCGTCTTCTTGATCTTCATCCTCCTCCTCCAAAAATTCCGTAATAATGCCAACCCAGTCCTTTCCAGCTTCAGGGGATTTCAAAAGAATCACATCACCGACTTTGCATTGGAATTGACCCATGTGTGCGCCAATGATTTTGCGTTTTTGGCGCGCTGGACGGGATCGTCTTCGGCTGCGTTTCGCCGGGGTATCATGGTTGGCCTCGGTCTCTTGGGTAGTTTCCTCAGTTGTGTCGTAAATCCACTCCCATGGAAGGTCCTCGACGCCTAGTTCATCATCAGAGTCGTCTCGAACCAGAGCTCCCTTGGTCATCCATTGGGCGCGTTCACGGGCACTGCGCCTTTGAGGCGAAGAGTCTGAATCGCTATCGCTCATTTGGGGTGTGGGAGATATGACGGGCAGAATGCAACAACAGAGAAGGAGAAATCGCGCTTGACGCGTTGTCCACTTTCGTCCCTTTTAGGTTTAGTCTGACAAGGAGGTCTAGCCAATCAAATCCATATATTGCTACCTTATAGTAAAACATGGAGTAGAGTAAAGTGCAGGTATAGACTATACATAGTATGTGAATATACAATATTTCTTCAACTAATCGCATACACGTGGATTGAAATCATCTTTAACTTGCTTCAAAGACATCACTCAGTATATTGTCAAACTACTTTTTGAAGTTTATCTACTAACGCCTTGGACATTTCTGGAACATTTTGTAGAGCCAGGCTTAATCTCCAGTTATGTCTGGCATACCAGAAGTTCCCTGGTTGATTTGAAATGTCAAATTAATACATCATTGAAAAAGTGAGGTTGATCACACTTGCCAGATGCTTCAAGATTGCGGAACGGATATACGAGATCGGAGATGTCGGAGAAACATAACTCCGGAACCCTAACAAAATCCAACGACATCTCAGAGGATCAGATCTATATACTTCCTAATGAATTTGCTTTTACTTGACTTCTTACTACTATAAGTGACTTTTATAACACGAATACCAACATGCAATGCACAGTATGTCTCTTTTACCCTTCACAGCCAAACAGGTCGGCGGGAACATTGATTTCCGAGTGTCTTGATCTATCAATATCTTCTTATTGTACAGAAAGTCAAATAGTGGACAAGCTGAGATGTTCTCTAAGGTAATTCATATGACCTGGATAGTCCTGGGGTCTCTAGCTACTACGCCGACGCATATGTAATCAATAACCGCGGCCCTGTGGCTCCACCTAGGCAGGAATCCATCCATGGATGAATGAATGCTCTTACTCTTTGATAACTCCCACCCGGGCAGCCTCTCTCTTTCCCCTTCTGGTCGCATTGGTTAATTCATATTTCATTCCCTTCCTTTATCTTTCTTTTACCTCCCACACGAGTAGCATTCCTTAAGTTGCATTCCGTCGCCCCCCAGCAGTCGCCCTGGCAGTCGATCTTTGTTCAGTTCCGTTGCACTTTCATCGCACTTCCATCGAAAAGTAGCGAACTACTAATCCCCCCTTTCTTTCACTTCTGCCGTTTGACATTTCCAAGATAACCGCGTCACCTTCTTCCAACTTAGCTCATTCCAACAATCCGTCCTGTGAGAGATCGCTACGGTCATCGCACAGCTGTCGCTATCAGACCCCGTTGAAATGGCTTCTCTACCCGAGCCCCATGATAAGGAGTAAGTTTATCTTACACATGGATAATTGCAAGGATATTCGCTAACTAATTCCACCAGCTGGGAGCGTACCAATGCCAAATGTGAGAGATAATTTGGTTCTCAATCATGGTTACACGTACTGACTTAGATAGCATGGGAACTACCCTATTATGGCCCTGGTCCAGATTTCGGCCGGGGGACCATCTACGATGGGGATGCCGACCAGAACACGGATAATAAAAGTACCGATGAGGATGATGAGGATGCTTTCGAGGACATTAACTACGACCGCCCTCCCGTTGACTATCAGCTGCACCCTACAAGTTCAAAGGTTGCTGTAACTGGTCGGGCTATCTCAAGTGTACCTCCTGTACCTACGCCATCGCCGGTCCCAAGTCAAAGCACCTTTCAAACCCGACCAGTTCCTACTGGGTCCAGAACAGGTCGACCTCAGTCACCAATGGGGCCAGTGTTCAATGAGCGTGGGCCTAATACCGGAATTTCCAATACATTAGCACGGCCGCATTATTCGGCATGTAATCTCAAACCAGGTCAACGTACCCCTGTCAACAGGGGACAGACTGACACACCGCGACCACCGTTTTATTCCAAAAAAGGCAGCACTACTTCTACTCCTTCGCAACACAAAGCTAGGTGTCCAGCTATTTCATCGGGGCAAAATGACTCTCATTCCAAGGCAAAGTGGCGCAAGGGGTTCTCTCCAGATGGTAAGTATGCTCACATCAACCTCAAGTCCACCATTAACGATCAAATAGCGTCTTATCGTTTGCCATATGAGTGCCAAGTGTTTCAAGAGAAGTGAGTACATACAGCTTTGCAGTAGCTGGTCTTAAAACTAACCCAGACATTGAAGGATTAGACAAGTCACTTTAGGAGAAATTTCCAACGTCGACTTCCGTCAGCGGATTATCGAGGAGACAGATGCATATATGAGGATGAGCGCGGGAAACGCCAAGGTCCGTTTTTGCTAAAACCCTCCAATATCTAGAGACTCATTATACTAATAATCATGAAGCTTGTTCACATCTGGGGACGGCAAAAGCAGGTGTTGGAGGCCCAGAATTTGCTTCAGGATATGGTGAATCGGTTGATGCAGCAGCGGACTTCGCCTACAGTAGCGCGCTGGACCAAGGTTCACGCGCATTCAAATAGGAAGGTTGCCCATGCCCGGTCACAAGAAAGCCATGAGGAAAGATTGTCCGACATGCGGAAGCCCCCGAGAATCACCACGGATTACACGGTATGTATAACGCTCAGCCCGCCCTACTTTGCTTCCGTACTCTATGGATACTGACCGACACTTGATACTACAGCTCGCTTTCCTCTGGCCCTCGGATGGCCCCTCACTCAACCACTTGATCACTGCCCGGCGCGAGCTCCTCGATTCCATTCGATTGAGATATGACGTGAATATCTACATCAAGCCTGGTATCCCAGACTACCTTTTCATGTCTGGAAATAATGAGCGGGATATGTCCATCATTGCATCCCGATTCCGAGAGCTATGGGAGAGGGTAATGGTCCAGCATGAGACGGAAATCAAGCTGTTCCTTGTTGCGGCGCCCCGGGCAGAGCTTATGAGAACTCACGTCATCCTGCAAAAGTCCGGTCGGCTCTCGGTGCCTGTTATCTGTGGACCGGAGCTGGCCCCAGATGTAACCGCAACCTGGAAGACCACTGCGGATGAAATCAAGCTCAATAACAAGAACATTGTCACCACCCGCCTTAGGAAAGCACTGCATGTGATTCCTCAATTTCGGGGATTCCTGCAAATGCGAGCAAAGTTCGGTTCGTTCGCCCTGCAACAGTGGCGCAAGCCGAATGATGGCACTTCTTATGAGTTCTCAGAGTTTCGTGAGATGCTTACCCATATGAACACCGAAGGACGTTTGCTCCCAGGGTATGTGATATGTGATCTCCGCCATAATCTGATGATTTACTGACTGACTGATCTTTTAGAATCCGGCTGCAGCAAGATGAGATCTTTGACCGGATCATGGAATCAACCTTTCTAAAGCCCTGGGGTAAAGCCAAAATCAAATCCCTGCTGAGCCTGATGCCCAAATATTCCGCCAACTTTGAGTACCAAGTGAACAAGGATTCGGTAATTCGCGTGGAGGCAAAATTCTCTCTTCCTCTTGGCTCGCAGGAGTTTGAAGTCAACGGAGTCCGTTGTTTCAAATCCAAACAGATCGGTGCTCCTGTTGATCGTCAGATGCCCATGCAGATCAGCATGATTGACTTTGAAAGGTTTGTCTACCCAATATCCTTTCGGAATTTTACTGGAAGCTAAGTTTATATATAGGTCCGATTGGCAGCTTGAAGTGAAGGCTCTTGAACTCTGCCCCGAAAAGGAGATATCCCCCGAGCTAGACAAATTCATGCGTTCTATTGCTTTCCAATGGAACCCGAGTGCAAAGAGCATTGGATCTGTCCCCCAGCGCAAGGCGAGGTTCTCATATGGTGCGCCAGTCAAGCGTTTCGTCGAGAAGGCCACAATCCAACTCCAAGTCAAAGACTCGCCGCATGTCTTCGAGCTCGCCCGCTTCGACGAGTACACGTACGGGGTTGGTCACTGGTCGATGACCCCCAAAGTGTCCTGGGGTGCATCGCTGTTCAATCCTAGTTGGGATGATATACTAGGTGAGCAGGCTGATGTCAAGGCTCTCGATATCTCCAAAGAGGGGTGTCTGTCGGTGTTCTTTCCCCCGCCGGGAGATGAGCAGGAACAGACAGAAAAGCCGAAAACGGACGATGAGCTCCGCAAGGAGGCCGAGAACCGAAAGATGGATGAGGAGAAGCAGCTGGGCTCTTTCATGAGCACTGTCCAGCAGGTTGCGCGGATGCTAGGAAATCCTGGCGCTGAGATGCCAGACTTCCTTGAGAACGATCTTGGAAGTCTGTTCTAGTCGATGTGTGCAAATCGTCCCAAATTTGTCGCATCTCATGCGACCACAAGGGCCAACTCAGAATAATAAAAAAAAAAGAAAGAAAGAATTAAAACGAGACAAAAGACAAAAACAACACCCATATCATAACCGTCCGGCTTGCTAATCAAGCCGAGATCATTAGGTATGTAGCAATAACAGTGCCAATTCAGAGTTATTCCTGTTCCCAATATCGGAGAACTCCTTTAGCCCTAGATTCGTGGTGGATTTTCTCGTTCTTATAATTCCTCTCCAGTTTGCTTGATCCAAAATGGTGAGACAGAGACCTGTATATTATTTGGATTTTTCTATGGTAAGCCATGTTTGGCCTGTTCGTACCACACAGGTCGAATTTAACCCTGAGGAGCACCCTCTGAGAGCAACTTCTGCCTCAATGCTGTAGGAAAGAGGTTAGCAAGCGAAAAGAAATGGTCTCGCAAAGCAATGCGAATCCCGGCTCCTATTATCCAGGTAAGGGTCGACTAACTCTCTTCCGTAATGCGCAGTTGCGAGCTCTTGGTCTGTACAATCTTCTCCAGCTCCTGCAAGTTTGCCTCCAGTCCCTTGACCTTCTCACCATAAAATGCGACCGCCTTAGGCGCAGTCTGGAAGAAGAAATCATCAGCCCAATGAACCCGATCACCGATATAGCCCTGCCGCCACATACCTTCTCAACATAAAATCCAGTTCCGACATCAACAAGCACCTTCTCGCGATCCGTCAACCGGCCCTTGACGTACAGGGAGCTGGTGAGGGGCACGAGGATCTCATCACGGCCATCGGTTCCCATCTTCTCATTCCCAATCACGCCGTCGTTGATCGTGCGCACACAGTCGCGGAACTTGGCCTGGGCGGCGCGCAGCTTCGTGTGCGAGGTGGTCAGGTGTTCCAATTCGGAGGTGAGGCGGGTTTGGAGTGCGCGGAGCTGAGGGATGGAGAGGGTGGCGAGGTTGACTAGTTTCTGGTAGTTAGCATGTATTTATCGCCATATGACACAGATAGCCGGAAGCCCGCGCTGTGTCATTCTGGTGATGGGGGGACCGGTGACGCACTGCCTTGGGGAGCTCCTTCTGATGGGGCGTTTTGTGACATTTTGGGATTCGGAAAGAAGAATAGGGTATGGTATTAGGGGGGATCGATTTCCGTGATTGTTGTGTTATTGTAGATCAGATCCTCGCATTGGGACCGTATAGGTGGTGGGGGGAGCTTCAAAAAACTCCTGGGTCTTGTTGCGTGGTGATAGTGGGGTTAAGTGTTGGCAGGCGGAATAGTGGACGGTTGTGTTTATACCCACGCACTTGACATACAGCAAAGATTTGCTTATTACCTCATATTGTATGAGCGTTACAATTTGTTAAAAGAAAGCTGTCAGTATATTATCCATATATTAATATATATTAATCCATTCATTCATAGCTACAAGTACTCTGTAGGTAAAATGCTATCTGCGGGGAAAAAAAGATCACTCCGAAGTTCTCCGCTCCGCTCCGTAATCCTTCTTCACCACATATCAATGGCGTCGAGACTGGCAGCATGTGAAGCTTGCAGAAAGGCGAAGGTCGCCTGTGATCATAAGCGACCAGCATGTACTCGGTGTGCAAGCAACGACAGAGCCGGGATCTGCATTTACCGGACGACCCCGTTCAAGAGAAGAAGAGCGGAGAGCTCTACACCTCTGCAGTCTCCTAGGTAGGTAATGCATATTCATATTTGCTTTACTTTCACATGCTTATCAAGTCTGCAGTCGGCTACCACCGGCCCAACCATCCTTCACCCCAAGGAATAATCCCTATCCAAACCCGGGCTTTCTGGGGTCCTCTAGCCATGTCGCTATTTTCAACGAAATTTCCCCGCAAGACTATCATGCATCTGATACCTACCAAGCCTCCGAGGATCTCACGATGCTGATGCAGTTGCAGTCCACTGGCGAGAATATCTTGTTAATCCAAGGCGCGGATGTCCTCAGACAGCTGTTCAACACATTTCCGCTAGCCGCCATGAAAGATTTTGTTACTTTTTGGCTGGCAACGGGAGCGAATCTAGCTCTGGCAGAGCCTTTTACCGAGAAGTGTACTGAAAATATGACGCGCCTGTTTACGTCCTTCTCACAGGAAGATAACTGGCATTTGGCATATGCCCAGCGTCTGACACAAAACTCCCGGGAACCTTTGCAGTTTGACAGCACATCCGATATGGAAAGTTTCTCCGCCCAGTTTCTCGACCAGAAATTCCGATGGGAAAGTCTAGGCATCTTCCTCTCTGCCGTGAGCCGAGCAGCAATCGCTATACCATTTTTCCCGCCATTGTTCAAAACCGAAAAGGATAATTTCGTGCTTCGGAAGCTCTCTACAAGACTTAGTGATCTTGCGTTAGATATTGTTCTCTCGTTGGATTGCTTAAACGACCTACAACTGGTTCTACAGTATGAGAACTTTATTGTACACACCCATGTTGATGGGGATCAAAGTAAGAACTCCTCGTTGATTTTGTCTGTAGAAACCCGCAGCTCACAGAGAATCCAGGCTATCACTCTTGGAGTAGACTTGGAGGTGTTCTGTCGTCCATGTTTGCCCTTGGCTACCATGAGAATATCGAAAAAACCAAGCCACCAATTCCGACATTCCTTTCGGAATTACGAAAAGCAGCTTGGGCCACCACGTACTCAGCCGACAAGAATGTGGCTATTTTCCTTGGTCGGCCACCTCGGATGAGCAAGCGGTTCTGTCACTTCCAATTGCCTTTGGCCCCGACAAGCTCGGATCAGGTTTTCAATGCCTCACCCGTTGAGGACGAGGTCGTCAGATGGAAAATAGATACACCGATCTGCTACAGGGCAGGTATTCGGTGGGCGACCCTTTGCTCCGGACTGAAAGAAGATGTCCTCGAATTGCTTCGATTAAAGCAGCGCGAGAATTTCAATCGGAAAGCTAGGTAAGTTAGCGCCCTCCAATGTGGGAACCACTTTCTCATCCTAGTGTTTGATATAGCGTCATTCGGCAAAAGGCTGAAACTCAATGGGCAAATCTACCTTCTCAATTCCGACTTTCGGGCCCTTTGAAAGAATGTTCTGGGGATGCGTTCGAACGTGACCTTATAGCTAGCATACGCCTGGACCAGCTACATGTTCTCTTTCTACTTCAATTGTCGTGCCTGGATACCCTGACTGAGCCCGATCCGTGTATACTCGACATCTCGGATCAAATACTCTCTCTTGTAGTGGACACAATCCTTCTACGAGATCAACTGGTCAACTCTGGAATTGGACTCATTTGGAAGGTATGTCTATCTACTATCAGGACTTGAACCGTTACTTACTGGACTGAACACCTATTAGATCGCTCACTTCGGACTTCCAGCTACAGGGATCATCCTCCTGTCAATGCTGAAAGAACACCGTACATTAACAGAAGGAAGATCCTCGTGGTCTAAAACAATACTCAATCTCGGTATCTTTGTTGCGCAGGTTCAGGTAGGGAGCATCGTTCGGCGTGGAGATCCGAACTACGCTTTGATATCCAAAGCGACACAGACGATTGAGCGGTTCCTTGATTCTATACAACGTGAAGGGATACAATCCCCGACACAGCTGTCACCGCAGCCAGGAGAGAATGGTGATTGGGCTGCGTTTTTCAGTCAGGATCTGTGTGATTTCGAGACTGACTTTTGGGAGAACCTCGCGTATCATCCTTCTTTATTGCCTTCAGACCCTATTTTGCCTCCAATATAGGATTAATACAGTAATATAAATGCAGAATACATGGCGAAACCTTTCATCAGTTACTTAGGCATGGAGTTGAAATCACTAAAATCTCATTTAAAGAACATTATGGATTATTTTATCAAGTAGGATACCAAAGATATATAACGATACCAAACTCTGCCATTATCTATACATCAAATCACCTTCGGTCCTCTACTATGATTTGTGTGCTATATCGAGACACGCCGGCTGTTGTTGAATCGTCATAAGGGAGATCACTCACCTATCTCCAAACCATGCTCCTCATCTTGGTCATCTGGAGTGGGTTCACGGGCCTTAAGAAGGAAATAATCTCGCATCGAAGACCACACGCTACTGTCTGGTTCAACAGACTTATTCTTGATCTTGTAAGGCGTAAAACTTTCACCCATCCATGCATCACCATCGGCGTCCAGAATTTCTTCGTCATTTGAAGACGAATCACTTAGAGTAGTGAAGGTACTCCATTCAACTTTCTCCTTTGGCAACCGCGAGGCCTTCGATCTTTTCTTTTGTGGCGGAGAAGTTTCTCCGTCCTTTTCGTCATCGCTAGTCCGCTTGCGTTTGCCTTGTTCAATAGTACTTGTGGAAATACCGAATTCAGTGCGGGGCGGAGATGGAGCTTCTGTAGTATCAGCAGTATAGAAGTCATCTGGGATAGGGGAATGAATATCTTCCGGTGCAACAAGGAGACGGGAGTCTGGAGGAGGGTCAATGCTAGGTTGAATGAAAGGGGCAGTAGGGGGATAAGGGGAATGATACCCACCGGAAGCCCAAAATGTATCCTTCGTAGCAGCCTTGGGAACAGGACTAACAGGAAATACTGGGGCAGGGACAGGATTCGGAGAAGCAACAGGAAATATAGTACGATTACGAGTGCGAACCGGGGTAAAAGTATGACCAGAAGTAGGAACGGGGGCAAGAACAGGAACAGGAACAGGAGCAGGAGAGGGGACAAGAGCACGTGCACGAGCACGAGCACGAGTAAGACGAGCAGGAGTAGGAGCAGGGGCATGGGCAGGTGTAGGGGCAGGGAGAAGGGAAAATCCAGGGCCAGGGCGAGGGGCAAGACCACCCGCAGGAGCAGGGAGAGAGAAAACTTCAAAAATAGGATAATTAGGATCAGTGACTCTCCATGTGGGATCAGTGAAGCGGTAAAATCGAAGCACATCGAATATACGCTCGGTAAGCTCCGCTGAGTCTGGGACATGAGCAAGAACTACAGCTGGCAACTCATGTTGCCTAGCAGTAATCCTGCGTCTGACCTCAAATCCACAGTGACCTCTGAATGTTCCGTTCCAAGGTCTTCCTTGTTGAAGAGCATTGTACAGAATGGGATTATAGATCTCTTTAATCAGGTGTTGGGTGGCCAGTCGATCTTGAGTATTCGTAGCCATATCGATGCCGAGTGCTGCCCAAATAGGACCCTCATGGCTTGGGCTCATATTTATTCTTAACTCTGCGGTTACTCGAGCCATACTGGAAGATGCTGATGAGAAGTGGGTTTAATCGAAGTCAGTATTGGACTGTTGGGTTGGATTGCAAGACTGTTGGCCTGTAGTGGTTTAGAATTCTTGGAAATAATGAGACTTGAGATGGAATATATCAACTATTAAGTACCAAAAAGCTCCTTTGTAGGCTATTAGATTGTTGTGAATATGGTCTATGTATTTTGGAAGACATAAAGAGACATATTCTTCTCAAAGAACACTCTTTTAGAACAAAGGGATGTGTCAATAAAATAATCGGCAATTCTAAACAAGGCCTTTATGAGGTAGTTAAGAATACAAGTTATTGTTTCTCTTCCTGTAGAAACAAAGGAAGGGAAAAGGAGAAAGTGCCCAAGAATAACTACCCCTGTTAGAAACAAAAGGAAACCCACAAAGGAAATTAGGAATGAAGCTCGAATCTGTCTTCTAAGATATTGATCTATAAATGGATCTCTATAGAATTAAAGTAATGGCTTTTGATGAAACGGCCACCTGCGTGGTTGAAATAACTGTAGGTGATGCTTACTGAATACCTGAGTTCATCTTGTGAAGAAGCTCCCTAATCGCCATCTTGCCGCTACGCTGGGCTATTTCAATGGCCAGCTCCCTTTTATAGTTCAACGTAAGTTATAAACTACAGATCAACAGAGTTAAAAGATCTCACGGGGTCGTCAGCCTCTGCTTCGAGAGTTGAGATCTAGAAAGACATCAGCTTGACAGAGCCAAACAGTATCCTCTATGGTGCCGACTGCTGTGCAACATGTGTTTCCCTGGAAACAGTCTGTAGCTTCATCATTAGTTCAGGTTTACGCGGCTGCAGGGGGTGCCTAGGTAGTGCTCGGAGTGAGTCTGTGCTTATTCCTCGCCTACTTAAGGCAAACAATGCCGCTAGACCGCCACACTTGTGTTCCAATGATGATTATGGACTGAATATGCTTTTGTAGGAACTTATTCAGACAATTCATCCCTAGGCGCCGATTCAAAGGATGAGCAGCTATCTCTGTGGTGGCTTGAAAGCACCTTTTGTCTACCTTGGGTGATTCTTCGTATCTGAAATCAGTTTCACCGGTAGTTTCGTTGGGAGCGAGTTGGACCTTTCCGTTGCCTAATACTTATTCTGGTCAAGGACTGTACTAGTCCTTTAGCATGTTGGCGCAAACTGTATTTTTCAATCTCACTCCGGAACGAACTCATGTGCATGAAGCAAGGGATGGCTCCACTAGACTTTCTGACAGGGCTCACAAAATATCGTAAAAACCAATGTTGATATAGGAGATATTGGTAGGGTAATGTAAGAAGACAGCGCCGAGGATCTTCTAAGCCCGTCGTGGGGCTGTGTAGAGGGGGTTTATGCGGAACGAAGAAGGCAAAGGCGGTCGAACTTGGTTTCAAGAAAGGGAATAGACCTCTGCTGTACACAGACACTTTACCCCTCGTTGACTAATATTCACCCACGTGATAATCACATGGTCCATGCGGCAGTGTCACGTGGTAAAAATCACCAATCTCGGCCATGAGCTTATGTTTCTAGGCTAAACGGGACCCCGGACCCATAATTCTATATTATGTAATATTCTGAGGTACTTCCATAAATTCTAATTCTAATATGGCGTGTACTCCCTGGCTCTCAATAATGGCTTCCGCCTAATGAGGCATCCTCTCTCCGAGACATTCCGGATGTCTCGTCTCTTACCGTGGTTCTACTATTACTGATTTTACAGCGCGTCTCAAGACGGTGAGCAGGGCAACTGACCCCGAGGGCACGTACCCGGCGGACTCCACCTTGGTGTCAAACTTCTGTTAGTACGGGGTACGTGGGATTCGCCAGCCTCCACCTATGTTGTATATTTTTTAGCTCATAATTTAAGGTAGTATTCAATTCGGTATTTTACAGAGTCAAAATAATTTAATGTTTAAATACTACCACTCTAACTCTCAATTTTTTTTTTACCTAACTAACGAGGGCTCCCGAGCATGACGAACGGCCTAGAATCTGGCTGGCATACTGTACCTAACATGAGAAATCCAGGGTTATACAATAGAGGAGAGGAGTTAGAGAAACTCAAAGCAATACAAAATACACGTTCAATACTACGGACTAAGATTGATTAGGGATATATTAGGCCGATCTTTGCGCCACTGAACCCTACTAGGGTACGCCCTGTTAGGGTACGTCCATTGTTGTATACATAACTACATGTACATATGTAGGTGCCCACCTAGTTAGACGGGATACTTTTCTTGATAAGATATTTGTAATAGTCTGGACACGGAGTAGTCCGATACATGCAGTAAATGTCATAAGTTACAACTCGATATCTCAACAATGGCGGTCTATATGAACGATTCCTATTAGTATCAAATGAGTGCCACGGTCCGAGAACTCCGATGACCTGCATCCTGAATCCTGAATCCTGAATCCTGATGTGACCCTGCGCGCTATGCCCATTTATAGCTTGGCCGAAATCACCAACCTTCTTTCCCCGCATAGAACTTCGACGTGGTCGATTGAACGACGATGGATGATTATTGCCAGACTTGGGCTGGTTTGAAATTCGGACAACTGTTTTGTACTCTTTACAGCCTCAATTTACGGTCTTTTGCTCGATGTCAGTGGCGCCAAAATTTAACATCATGGCGTCCTGTCCGTGACTTGGGCCCGGGTGCTATGATCCCGTTTGCGTCTTAGTGCTGACGGGTGGTCCAATGTGGCTATTCCTCAAACAAAGAACAAAGCCACATGTTTCATTTGGGGGCTGATCTGCAGTTTCGCTCACCCCACGGGGAAAAGTTTGATCTCTTTTATATTCTGTGGGGTAGCCGACCTTCCCTCTACACTTTTCAAAATCCAAGATCTTCTGAATCTGAAAGCTACCAAAAAGCTCCCCATCATGGATGAAAAGTCGTCTAAGAGCGATTTCCCTCACTTTGAGCATGTGCTCCCAGCTAAGACAGAGCTGGATGAGGCTATCAACCCTGATGCACCTCCGAGGCGCCAGGCGATCGGTATCAACATCGTTGAGAATCCGTTGACGGTAAGTCACAACTGAGAGCCTCTTTCATGTTCGTGTCGGACATGAACACTGATCATCTTTGGGTATACAGCGCGTCTCTAAGGAGCAGGCTATTATCGATGCCCGGAATTATGCCGAGTCGCATAATATGAGCGAATATGCCGATCTGTTTGGGCGGGCTGCTGTGGTTGCGCGGAGCCCCAAAGAGTTCCCATCGGCTACTGAGATCGATGAAGAGGAGCGCACTGCTCTTGCATACGAGAGGGACCATAAATGGCACGGCTCATTCATGCTCTGGTACTCAATTAGTCTATGTGCTATCGGTGCTGCCACACAAGGATGGGATCAGACTGGATCCAACGGAGCCAACTTGTCCTTCCCTGAGGAATTCGGAATTGCCGGTAAAGGAAAAGATGAATGGATCGTGGGAATTGTCAACTCCATCATCTTCTTGACCGCAGGCCTTATGTAAGTTAAAGCCCTGTGATGATCATTTTTCTTCTATCTTTTGCGACTGACCTTGTACATAGTGGTGCTTGGATTGTTGATCCACTTAACCACTATTTGGGCCGGAGAGGTGAGATTTTTGTCACTGCTCTCTGTCTCACTGCCACGCCCATTGGTTCTGGCTTCGCAAAGTCATGGCAAGGACTCTTCGCTGCGCGATTTGTGATGGGAATCGGAATTGGCGCAAAGAACGCTACAGTGCCCATTTATTCAGCTGAGATGGCTCCAGCCAGAATTCGAGGTGCTCTTGTCATGTTCTGGCAACTTTGGGTCGTAGCCGGTGAGTATCTCTAATCCCTCGTCAAGGAACATGACTAATCCCTAATGCAGGTATTTTCTTGGGCTTCGCTGCCAACGTTATTGTCAAGGATGTGAAAGATATCGCCTGGCGTCTTCAGCTCGGCTCCGCATTCATTCCATCCTTCATCCTTGCCATTGGCATCTTCTTCTGTCCCGAGTCTCCTCGCTGGCTTATGAAGCATAACAGGCACGCTGAAGCATTCCAGTCCATGAAGCGCTTGCGAGCTCATCCAATTATTGCTGCTCGAGACTTCTATTATTCATACGTGATCTACGAGGAGGAACTCAAGGAGACTCGGGGCGCAGGCTATTTCTCACGTCTGTGGGACTGTTTCGCCGTCCCGAGGATCAGACGGGCTAACTACGGTGCCTCGACTGTTATGATTGCGCAGCAAATGTGCGGTATCAATAGTAAGTTGTATCTCGTCGCGTGAGATGGCCTAGTGGTAACACGTTTTAGTCATTTCTTTCTACAGCTCGACCATCTTCCGGGATGTCGGTTACACAGAAGACCAGGCCTTGTATGCGTCTCTTGGCTACGGTGCTATCCAAGTTGTGGCAACTATTCCAACTTTGTTCCTGATCGACACCAAAGGCCGAAGAACCTTGACTTTGATCGTAAGCCGTTCCGAGATCTCTTGCGGAATCTCACTAACTATTGATCTTATGAAGACATTCCCCCTGATGTGCATCTTCCTTTTAGCTGGTGGTCTCTCTCTTTTGAACAAGACGGATAATCATGGGGCTATGATTGCACCAGTTGCCTTGTAAGTTTGGTAATTGTTTTATCTGAGTACAGGCTCTGATTCATATCTCCGACTAGGTTTGTGTATTTGTTTACTATTGCCTATTCCTTGGGCGAAGGGCCAGTCGCTTTCCAATATTCAGCTGAGGTATTCCCGACCATTCAGCGAGAACAAGGAATGGCGTGGGCTGTTTGTATCAACAACACTTTTGGTAAGTATCCCTACATCAAACCTATCGAACATTCCATTGACAAACTATTCTATAGCTGGCATCCTTAGTCTAACATTCCCTCGGATGATGACTGTGATGACTCAAACTGGCGCTTGTAAGTTAATAGTCCTAGACCATGCTGTTCAAATAACTGACCCTTGCTCTAGTCGGCTTCTATGCTGGTCTTAACCTCCTAGCTTGGTTTATGATTTTCTGCTTTGTCAGGGAGACCAAGCAGCTGACTCTAGAAGAATTGGATCGTACGTTAACTACGGAATCTACATGACCATGTACTGACATATATCGCAGAGGTATTCTCGGTGCCAACCAAGAAGTTTATCCACTATGAACTTACTGTGTGGCTTCCTTGGTGGATCAAGCGATACATCTTCAGACAGAATATTGAACGACCGCCACCAATCATTGCACTGGGCGACGGTGTCAGGTAAAAGCTCATACAGCTCTACATACTGAAGATCTTCAGACTGTGAATTTTGGGTTGGCAGGTCTTTTTTTTTATCACTGGTAACTTGGTCTTTCATTATCCTATCTCTATGAGGTAGAGGAGAGTGATCTACATTTTAACTGAATAGTTCGGTCGTTACATACGCAAAATACATTTCTAGTACTATGCACTGAAGCAGTGATATCATATACAAATAAGGAGCCAAACTTCGCGTGCCTTCCTCTCTTGCGAAAGCACTGGTATATCAGGTCGGTGTAGGTAAACAAAGTCTTTTGGTAGGAACGAATCAGCCCAACTTCAAATTTGTAAACTCCGAGGTCAAGTACAACTCATCTCAATGCATATTCTTCGACTCGTATTTCAATATCCCTTCATTACTATCATCATGGACCAAACATCTGCAGAACGTCAAACTTTCATCGAAGCCCCGGATCAAGACACAGTGAACCCAGAAGCCTCAACCGCGAACATACAGTCTACACTGGCAGATGATCGATTTCAGTCAACATCCAACACCTCACTAATCCCACATCTTGAGGATGTCCATCATAACGTCTCAAAATCACTAAGGGTCAATGAAGATTTGATGAGTTGGTCAGATGCCTGGTTCCCAGGGGACGAGCGACTGTGCCCCTTGTGGATGGGGCCTTGGATTGAATTTCCTCAACTTCAAGAAGAGATGTGGAACGAAATTTTCAACACGCCCGAACTTGTCGATGCCCGTATTTTCCCTCCGCAAGTCGCCGTCCGCCACGCTGCTCACATCCTAGAATGGTACATAGTGTATTCAGAGGAGACCTTGAAGATATTTGCAAACAGGTCAGTGGACGATTTCCTCGCCACGACTTTTAATTTTATGGAACAAGAGGACACATTGCGATACAGGTTCAGTGTCCGGGGACAATTGCGCTTCGACCGCCCGCGTCATTGCTGCACCTCTGTTGCGAATTTCGGATTCGAAGAGCCAGCATATGCAGTCCTGTATATTCCTTCATATTGTCTGACTTTGCCCGAACTGGTTGCAGGGTTGCACGGGACATCACCGATGGAGACCTTCGAGAAGAAACCAACTACATTCGAGGAACATGCCACTTACGTAGTGTCTCGTGCGATCGTTCGGATCTATTCACGGATGATCTGCTCTGGACGCCGGTATGGGTATATCTACACAGGAGAGGCCTTGGTATTCCTTCAAATTCCCCCGGACGACAGTAGCAATATCAAATACTATCTATGTGTTCCCAGTCGAGACGTCGTTTATCATGGTTATGATTCCCAGTCAGAATGGGTTCGCCGTACTACTTTGGGCCAAATCTTCGCTTTCGCACTTCAGTCTTTGGCTGCCAGCCCACCAACGCAGGAATGGCAAGACGCAGTTTACCAAACCTATCGTGCGCTTGATAAAGATGACTCAATTCTCCTGCCTCAAACCCCGGATGCCATTCGATTTAGCCCGCCAGCAGAGTTTCTATATGAGACCTCGTTCTGGGTTAAATTCTGGGGGAATCTTCTGCTTGCAGACATACAAATAGGCGAATATGAAACCTCTCGTTCACAGAGTTCTGAGTTATCAGACGTTTGCAAGCCTTATTGTACCCAGGCATGCCTCCTTGGTACCTTTCAAAAGGATGTTCTGGATCAGAACTGTCCGAATGCTGCTGCCCATGGCACAGAAAGACATCAGATTACCTCACAGGAGATATGCGACATGATGAATGAACAACTCCGCGCGAATCGGTATAGAGGATTCCAACAGCTGCACATCGTTGGTCGAACCTGTTATCTGTTAAAAGCAACGTTGCTGTCTCATGGATACACGATGTTGATCAAGGCCACCAGCTCCAAGCGGTCACACAGGATCAATACTGAGTTGAAAAACTATCAGAATTTGCTTCCATTGCAGGGAAGTAAGATTCCTGTATGTCTTGGGATGTTTTCGCCGAAGATCCCATATTGGTATCATGGTACTAAAATGACCTCCATGCTGCTCATCAGTTGGTCTGGAATTCGAGCGGACCAACATACCACTCTTGAAACGTGTGAGTACCTTGAACAGGAGATGCAAAAGCTTGAAGACAAACTTAAGGAACATGGAGTTGTTCAGAAAGATGCAGCTTTTCGCAATGTTTTGTGGAATCCCACATCACAATCTTTTGTGATGGTTGACTTGGAAGATTTGAAGTGGCTGGGGAGCGAGGGAAGCGAATCCAACGGAGGCTCAATTCAGTCCAGTGACTACCTTGGAGATGTCGGCAAGTAACCTTTGATTTTGGCGCTCACAAAGATATTGTGAGTAACAGTTGGTTGAGTTGGAAGAAAAGGCACCGCAAAAATTCTATATTTATTCCCAACGCTATCTTTATGATGCATGCCGTCTTCCTTACTGTTTGTAAAGTCCCTTGGACCTGTATAATATGGTTGCAATAAACCCAAAACAAATTGATCACTCCAGATCAAAAGTCTAGTCGACATATATTAGCATTGGATGATAATGAGCCCACACCACGAATAAACATACCATATCAAACCAAACACCACCTGCAAAGTTAGACTGACTTTTCCCCTGGTTCTTAAACCCAACACTCTCATAGAAATTCACCAAATAGTCATGCGCAATAAGGACAACCTTGTTCGCCCCGAAAGATCCTCTCCCAAGATGCTCAAGGTATGCCCGGACGAGAGCTCTTCCAACCCTCTTGCCTTGATACTCCGGCGAAATAGCCACAGAGTGAATTGCAATGTTGTCACCATACTTGTGATTCCCAATTAGTTCATCATTGACAAAGACCGGTTCACCATCCAGTGATCGCCAATTCTCCGGCATTGACATCGATCCGTCGGTGATACGTGAATAAGGAGATCGCACTGCAATGACATGTCCAATGAGTGTAGGTGAAGCTGGGTCTTGCTCATTCTCAACAAAGAGTCCCAGGCATAGCTCCGGGCATGCTCCCAAGCGATAGCAGAACTTGTTTCGTGTTAGAGGAAGCAATCTTCGGAATTGCTTATTTGCCTCAGATCTGGCTCTGGCTTACCTTTTCCTCGGAGCATCGCTCCGGCTCTATAAAGGCTTTCTCGACGGCTACGCAGATCTTCACGTCTTCCTTGTTCAGAGTCCGGGTGAAAGCATTGGCTCCTCCGAGGCTCGGGATGTGAATGTTGGTTTGGTTCATGTTGGGAGGCTTGGATTGACTGATGAGAACATGCGAACAGGTTATAAATTCGAATTGAAAACAACAAAGATAGAAACAATTGTTTAATGAGTCAAGGGTATTTCTATATCGGTGGGTGGAGTAAACCGGAGTATTCGGGCCGGAGTGTTCGGCGTGGATCACCTAGTGGAGGACCTCAAATGTGAAATCCGGAGAAAAAGTGGACATTGGATCTTATTGATGCATTGATTAGAGATGATCTGACGCTCTATTAGCTACACCGCTACTGTATATCGTGGCCAATAGCAATCATTCCAGGAATCATGTTATCGGCTGTATATCTAAGCTAAATCTGGGGAAGAAAAATGCTGTCATTTTTTAGTTGTTGTTTGGCAAAAGCCTAGTCTTACATTTATAGGATAGGAGATGAGATAATGTACAGATTCACTTGCTAATATTACATACTGGCGCTTTCAGCCATTCACAGTTTGGCCAACAAGGACTGAACAAACGTGTGGAGTCCATCCAACGGCACATCCTCCTTCACGTCGAGCCGACGGCACTGCACCTCCAAAGTCTGTTTCTTCTTCCACCCATTGCCAACAACAATAATAATAGGGTACCCAATCAAGTCCGCATCTCCAAGTTTCCAGCCCATGCCCTTGTCCCGGTCATCAAGGATAGCATCCACAGGCGCTGCAGTGTTGCCGGTAAGACTATCATACACCTGATCGGCAACAGTCTCCAGTCCCTTCCCCGAGACTACCACAACCTCGTAGGGCGCAATAACACGCGGCCAATTGAGTCCCTTAGAATCGGCAAGTCGGTTCGCCACTGCGGAGATCATACGCGAAACACCGATACCGTGACATCCCATCTGCATAGGTACGATCTGTTCCTTGGCAGAAGCCTTCGCACCTAGATCCATATCCGAAGATTCCTCGAGAAGAGCGGAGTTGACAGACACAGACGCGTTTAGTACTTTGCTGTACCGCGTTCCCAAGTGGAATGTGTGTCCTAGTTCAACGGCAGAGTGGCTAGTCAGCGATCCATCCACGCACTGCGAGCAATGGTCTCCGTCATGAACGCGGACAAGGCTGAGTTTGTTTGAAGTCTCGGGGAATCGGTCCAGCTTGGAGTAATCTATGTCCGAGGCTGTGCAGCCAACTTCCTGGAGCAGATCACTGAGCGGCGGGCGCTGGTATACCCGAACCTGTGAGTCATAAAGATCCAACACACGCGGCTTATGCGTGGAGGACTTGTTTGCCTTTACGTGGGCGGTCCATCGCTCTAATGGGTTCTCCACGCTCAGGTCGAGGTCAATACCAGCGGCGGTCGCTACTGCCTTGACGGCGTGTGAGTTGACATGCCGCTCGACGGGCTCCGTCGCGCCATTTTGCATCGAGAATTTGGGGTACCAGCTCCGCACGAGGGTATTGCTATCGTGAGAGATAGCCATCCACATGCCAGTTGAGATTGTTGGTCCACCTTCGACAACTGCATCATCGGTCTGGAAACCAGGTGTCATGGTCTCTTCGGACTCCTCAGCGATGTGCGCCTTGCCGTCTGCGAGTTCTTCGTTGTAAACATGGTCACAGTGCGAGCAGCTGACCACCTCGTCCTCGCCCTTCGGACTGATGAAGTGGTACTCATGGCTCAATGAGCCGCCCATATTTCCCGAGTCTGCTGCCGCGACGAGGTAGGGGATCTTGAGTTCGTTAAATAATTCTGTGTAGGCATTTTTGACTGCATCATATGTTTTCATTGCTTCGGTCAGACTGTAGTCGAATGTATAGAGGTCTTTCATGACGAACTCTCGCCCACGAAGCAGGCCCTGTCTGGGCCGGGCCTCATCTCTGTACTTCCGCGCTTTACGATTCTGTCAGTGAGCTTCATAAAAATGGACAAAAAAAGAGTCTCACTGATTTGATATACCCGCAGAGGCAGGCTCTTGTATGATGTTGTCAGATTCCCCACAAGTGTAGTGATCTCCTCCTCGTGTGTTGGGGCCAGGAGAAAAGGAGTGTCTTTCCGATCATTGAATCGGAACAGCTATGATCCATGTTAGTGACATTATGCAATACAGTGGGTATGATCAACTCACTTCTGAGCCATCGGTCAGTCTGCCAGACTGTGCCCAGAGCTCTTGTGAGGATATTGAGGACAATGAGACCTTGGATGCGCCTAGTTTTGATTTAGTTGCCATCCCATGATATAGACAGGGTATATTACATACCGAGAGAGCGCATATGCTTGTCAATCAGACGCTCTAGTTTATCTTGAACACGTAGACCAAGTGGGAGCATATGAAACACCCCAGAGTATGCCTGGAGACCGTCAGTGATATTTACTTGTACATAAAGATGTGACTTCTCACCTGTCGAAGGAATCCACCTCGGACTAGCAGGTCATTGGCATCCTCTAGATCTCTGTTAACATCTGGTGATAGTCAATCCCTATCGAGTTTCCGAATGGCGTACCATTTTCACCATCAACGGGCTTCTTGGAAATTCCACCAGTAGGAATCCATATGTTTGAAACGCGGCTTCTACCGTCAACCTACACTGAGTCAGTACTCACTGTCAAGCACATTCAACCAATCTTTTGGAAGGACGTACGTGAAGATTGCATTGCTGAATGCGCAGGCTCAAGGCTAGCCGCCGCCCGGCTATGCGCCCGGATAGAGGTCGTAGCCCAGAAATCATCGATCAAGGCAGCTTAAGGCGTCGAAATTAATTATTTTCGCAATTGAACCGCTGGCTGAACACAAAATAAATTGTAGAGCAAGCCGAGTCTCCCTTCTCCGATGTTTCTTATCGGGTTGGTCCGAGCGCCCCGATAACGCCGCAAAAGATTTCTCCGTTTAATTTTCTTTCCTCCATCAGTCAACCCTAAACACAATACACCATGGCTACAGGGAAAGGAAAGCGCTCTTCGAGCGCAAATGAGAGTGCTCCCGCGACGAGCATCTCGGCTCCCGCTGCCGAACCTCTGCCATTCATGCCGGACGAGAGTGCCTTCGCAGGTCTACGACAGAAAATCGAACAGCGTTTGAAGAATCAGAGTCAGACCACCGGGAAAGGGAAGAAGGACAATAACAAGCCATCGGCCTCGGCCACCAATGCTTTCGCAAATAAAGGAAAGCAATTTCCCGCCAAGCCCGGCCGCCCTCAGGATTCTGCGCAAGGCAAGAAGCGAGATCGCAACGGCGAGGTAATTGCTCGCGAGCAGAACAAGGATGGAATGAAAAAGCAGGAAAAGCCCAAAGCTGGCAAGAAGAGCAACGATGACGAGACATTGCGCCAAGAAATTCTAGCTATGGGTGGTACCGAGGAGGATCTTGATCTTCTTGCCGGTGTTGAGTCCGAGTCTGAGGTTGAGGGCGAGTCTGGCAAGGTTGACGACGATCTTCGGAAACAGCTCTCTAGTATGTTGGAAGCTTCAGGGCACGTCGTGCCTGAGGATCTAGCGGATGACGAAGTCGAAGAGGAGATAGAGAGTGAGGAGGATATCGAGGACAGCGAAGACAATGCAGAGAGCAGCGGGCCAGAATCTGATATTGAGGAAGCCCCCGCCTCGAAGACAAAAGAGTCTGAATCTGTGGTGCCGAAGGAGTACCTGAAGCTGGTAAGACTGAACCGGCCTAGCACCACAACCCTTTTGCTAACATGATCATTATAGAACGTTCTTCCTCGGTCCGACTGGTACAATATCCCTATGCCCTCCTCCGCCGGCGACACGAAACATATGAACGCCTTGCCCCGCCACCTGATGGAGCGCGTTCACGAGCTGGCCAACAAATTGCTGCAGGAAGAAAATGAGGAGTATGCGGCGGCCCAGAGGGCATCTGCTTCTTCTTCCCACAAGTTCTACTCGACCATTATGACGTCTGGTACCCTGAGTGATAAAATTTCCGCCTTGACTCTTAACGTTCAAGAGTCGCCCCTGCACAACACCAAGGCACTGGAGACTTTGATTAGTCTCGGAAAGAAGCGCAGCCGTGCGCAGGCAGTTGAAGTTTTGCGGTCATTAAAGGATATGTTCGCCCAGGGTACCTTGCTGCCCAGCGACCGACGATTGAAGTCTTTCACTAATCAACCTGGGCTCGTCGCCGCATTCCAAGGTGCCGGTGGGCGGTGGAACGAGAAAGACCCTCTTCCGGGTGGTTTGAAAAAGAGCGACCTGATTGTGTGGGCTTTTGAAAACATCGTAAAAGATCAATTCTTCGAAGTTATTAAGATTCTCGAAATTTGGTGCAATGACGAGATCGAATTCTCACGGACCCGGGCCGTCAGTTATGTCTACGAACTTCTCAAGGAGAAGCCCGAGCAGGAGACCAATCTTCTGCGACTTTTGGTCAATAAGCTTGGTGACCCGGGCAAGAAAATTGCGTCTCGGGCATCATACCTGTTACTACAACTGATGCAGTCGCATCCTATGATGAAGCCAATCATCATCAAGTCAGTGGAAGAAGTGCTATTCCGGCCTGGTCAGAGCTCCCACGCCAAGTACTATGCTGTTATTACTCTTAACCAGACTATTTTGAGACTGAAGGAAGAGAAAGTGGCTGCTCAGCTGCTGGACATTTACTTTGGACTGTTCCTTGTGCTTTTGAAGCCCTCCCACCAGCCTACCGATGGAAAACCTGCCCACAAGGGTAAGACTGCCCCCAAGGGCAAATACAACAAGCATGGAAAGGGATCGAAGGGCAAAGGCGACGACGATGCTGCCAAAGGACAGGCCCAGGACGACGAAATGCGGGAGAAGCTAATCTCCGGTGTCTTGACCGGTGTCAACCGTGCTTATCCTTTCACTGACTCTGATTCCGAACGGTATGTTTTCTTTACACTCTACTCCCCTATGCAAGGTACTAACTTCTACTAGCATGTCGAAGCACCTCGACACCCTGTTCCGTATCACACACTCCTCGAACTTCAACACCAGTATCCAAGCTCTCATGCTGATTCAACAGCTCACGGTGTCTAACCAAGTCTCCGGCGATCGCTTCTACCGCACTCTGTACGAGTCCTTGCTCGACCCCCGCGTTTCCACCTCATCAAAGCAATCTCTCTACCTCAACCTCCTATACAAGTCTCTCAAGAATGATTTGAACGTCCGCCGAGTCAAGGCATTTGTGAAGCGTCTTGTCCAGGTTCTTGGCATGCACCAACCTTCTTTCATCTGCGGTGTCTTCTTCATGATCCGTGAGCTCGAGAAGACCTTCACCGGCCTTTCATCCTTGGTCGATCAGCCGGAGGAGAACGACGATGATGATGAAGAGGTCTTCCGTGACGTCCTCGATGAGGACGACGAACAGCCGGAAGCCGCTCCTGTTGTTGAAGCCAAGAAGCAGAACAACGTGTACGACCCCCGCAAGCGAGATCCCGAGCACAGCAATGCCGACCGGAGCTGCCTTTGGGAATTGCTGCCTTTTACTTCCCACTTCCATCCTTCCGTGTCTCTTAACGCCACAAATCTGCTTGAGCACAACCCCATGAGTGGCAAGCCAGATCTGACTCTGCACACTCTCACTCACTTCCTCGACCGCTTCGTGTACCGCACGCCCAAGGCCAACGCCAGCTCCCGCGGTGCTTCTATCATGCAGCCCCTGGGTGGTGGTGAAGCCGCCGACCGGTTGGTGGAGGCGGGCAAGAAGACACAGAACCAAGTGCCTCTCAACACCGAAGCCTTCTGGAAGAAGAAGGCCAACGATGTTGCCGCGGAGGATGTCTTCTTCCACGAATACTTCACCCGTGTCAATAAGGACAAGGAGAAGGTGCGTTCCAAGAAGAGCAAGGACGTTGATGACGAAGACAACTCCGACGCAGGCCTTAGCGGAGACGAGGACGAGATCTGGAAAGCGCTCGTCGACTCCCGCCCCGAGCTGGAAGCCGACGAGGACAGCGACGACGACCTGGACATGTCCGATTTGGAATCCGCGTTGGACTCCGAAGAAGATGGCGAAGGCGCAGACGAGGACGAGTCCGACGGTGGGGTTATCTTCAACGACGAGTCCGATGTTCCCTCCGACGAGGAAATGGCCGAGTTCAGCGAACCCGAGGAAGCCGCGCCGGCCGTCAAGACCAAGAAGGCCGCCAAAAAGCCCTCCAAGGAGGTCGAGGAGGACTCTGACGACTTCGATATGGACGTATCAGACGACGATGCCTTTATCGACAGCGACGAAGATCTGCCCTCGGATATGGAATTGGGTGGAGTCGGTCTGGAAGAGCCCGAAAAGCCCGATGCCGCGCCCGAGTCGAACCGCAGCAAGCGCCGCAAGCTCAAGCAGCTTCCTACTTTCGCCTCCGCGGACGACTACGCTGCGCTGTTGGAGGACGAGGACGACGGAATGTAATCTGTTTCACTTTGTACAAAGAGTTCGATTATTCCTTACCCCCCGTGGGGCCAAAATTCTTTTTTTGCATCTGGAGTTGTTACAGGTTGCACACATTCTGCCTTACTATCCCTTTCATTGTTATCTATATCTATTCTATCTACTATCTATTCCGCCTCGGGACCCTGCAGCCAATACCAGCTCTTTGGATAATGCCTAGGACCACCCCTTTCTAGGCAAAATTAGGCAAAAATAGGCAAAAATAGGCAATGCGATACGGCAGCTGTAGCAGTCCAATCACAGCTTATGGATTTGGGTTCAACAAGATCGCAAGGGATACGGAGTACGCCGTGACCATTGAAATAAAAATATCTCAACGTGTATACTAAATATCGCGCATATGTCATAACGTAGGCAACCTTTGGATTGAACACAGCGGGCATCCAAATAAGCTCAGATGTTTTGTGCTTATAAGCGCCCGAAAATCACTCGACACCATACGGAGCATATGGAGTGCGTAGTGTGGACCTTGATGCCATCGCTGTGGGTTCGCACGCAAGATCGGCTGCTGGGGCCGAAGGCCAGAACGTTGGATATTTAATGCTTTTTTACTATTTTAATGTCTCAGTATTCAACGCTTTCTTTGGGATGTCTGTCAGATAATAATATATATCATATGCCACGGCATTGGGGCTGCATGCTCCAGGCAAGGGTCCCTGGCTAGACCATGAGTCAGCGGCACGTGGTACGGGCGTGTAGAAAGTGCCGATCCTTCCATTTGTACTCCGGAGGCAAAGCGAAATCTTCGAAAATGAACTCCCCGAGAGAGATGGACCATGTTTCCACTATTCCATGCTGAATCAATGTTCGCGAGCCATATGCGTGGATTCCACTTCCCGATCTGGATGAATTCATTCGACCAAGCCATCCGCATGCGGGGCCAGTCCACCGGACGCATAGAATAATGGACGATATGATATGCGGGCGCAACCGACTCTGCATGAGGGAAGAAAGCGGATTCGGGATGCCCGTGGAGCTTGGGGGCTCAGTACCATGGACTATGGGATTCATCCAGTCCAGTAGTCAGGATACATGTAGTACTTTGACTTCAGGTCCAGAACTGTTCCTTGGCACAACCCACCGTAAGCCACGGCTGATGCTTCAACTACAGAGGCTGATCTTGGCTCTGGCAACGTCATATCTCTACATTTCGCCTAGTAGCTGAATTTTGATTTTGAATTTCTTTTTTACTTTCCGGATGTTAAAGGCTGTGGAGTCGGAAATGACGGTGTTCTCCAGATAACCATAGAAGTACCATGCGCTGGGATCGCAATACCCGATATGCTGCTATACTAACGTCAAGGTTCTTTTTTTTTCTTTTTTATTTCTCTTTCCCCTTTTCCCTCTCTTCCCTCCATTCATCTTTCCACTCTTCGTTTCAGTTGAGAATTGCATGCAGCTCAGCGAATACCACCTCAGGTACCCGCATTTGCCCTAATCCGTCCAGCACGGATCGCTTCTTCCAACTGGCCGATCACCCAGGACTTGTTCATTTCATTTGAGTGTAAGTGTCTGATTCATCTGTTCAAATAGAAGAAACGATAAACACAAAAGAACAAAATCCGCTCACACGCGACCAGTATCCTATTTATCATCTTCTCGAGCATTGCATGCATCTGCGCATACTCAACTCTCTTGACTCCACCGAGTTCCGACAAAGTCGCGGTTCGTCCGCTCTCTTAAATAAAAATGACTGGTCCGAAAGAATCGCCAAATCTTGCTCCTGTGGGCTGGGACTATGACCGGAACCACAATGGCACCGAGTTGTCTGATATGTCCGAGCAAGAGCCCAAGCTGAAGGACTTCGACATCGAGAGCCAGCCCCGCCGCGGCTCGCAGCATAATGTCACTGCCATCGACTCATTGTCGATGAAGGAAAGTATCGGTCGTCAGATTGACATCGAGTCGGAGAACACAATTAAATACCGGACGTGCAGTTGGCAAAAGGTGCGCTTCGGACCGATACGGATATTAGAGGCTTGACTAATAAATTTTTACAGACCGCTGCATTGCTCTTCTCGGAGTATATCTGTCTGGCTATTATGTCCTTTCCCTGGTCATACTCAATTCTGGGTCTGGTTCCCGGTTTGATCCTGACCGTGGTTATTGCCGCCATTGTCCTGTACACTTCATTGATTACCTGGTATGATATCCCTAACAGCCGCGACCACATGATAAGCCTCGGTGTTAATATTTGTATAGGAGATTCTGTCTGCGACACCCGGAAGTCCGCGATGTTTGCGACATCGGTCAGTATCTGTTCTGGGACTCCAAGATTGCGTGGTGGGCCACAGCATTCATGTTCCTCCTGAACAACACTTTCATTCAGGGCCTGCACTGTGTGGTGGGTGCCGAGTACTTGAACACGATGTCAAACGGTGCAGTATGCACAATTGTCTTCTCAATAATCGTCGCCATCATTTCCTGGTGTTTCTCGCTGCCCCGCACATTCGACACGTTATCCAAAGTCGCAACCCTCTCAGCATTTTTTACCTTCGTCTCCGTCGTCCTGGCTGCCGTATTTGCTGGTGTCGAAGACCATCCGGCAGGATACACGCCCGCACTGGGAGACCCCACCGTGCTTGCCGTCCCGCTCAAGGGCACAACATTTATCCAAGGCATGAATGCCTTTTTGAACATTAGCTACACCTTCATCGGCCAAATCACCCTCCCCAGTTTCATTGCCGAGATGAAAGAGCCCCGCGACTTCTGGAAGTCAGTAACAGCCGTGACAATCGCGGAGATCATCGTCTTCAGCGTCATCGGTGCAGTCACATACGTCTACGTCGGCAACCAATACATGGTTGCGCCGGCCTTCGGTTCCCTCGGCGACGACGTTTACAAGAAGGTCTCCTTCTCTTTCATGATACCGACCATCATTTTCCTGGGCGTGCTGTACGCCTCCGTCTCGGCCCGTTTCATCTTCTTCCGCCTATTCGAGGGCACCCGGCACAAGGGCAACAACACCGTCATTGGCTGGGCTGCTTGGGGTGGAATCCTTGCTGCGCTTTGGGTCGCAGCCTTTATCATTGCCGAAGTCATTCCCTTCTTCTCCGACTTGTTGTCCATTATGAGCGCCCTCTTTGACTCTTTCTTCGGCTTCATTTTTTGGGGTACCGCTTATATCCGCATGCGCTCGGAGGATTACGGACCCCGTTTCTTTATGGTTCGTGGAATTCGAGGCTGGCTCGGATTCATTTTTAACGTCTTTTTGATTGTTGTTGGTTTCTTCTTCTTGGGACCTGGGACATACGTAAGTGATGAGTCCTTGTTTGGCTTGGCTTGTTGGTATTTCTTATGCTCCTGCTAACACATATTCCTTCTAGGCTGCTGTTATGTCCGTCGTCACCAGCTACGATGAGGGCACTGTTCGCGGCGTTTTCACGTGTGCCAGCAATGGACTATAAACCCCCTGCAGGGCGGGGGGTTTGTAAAAAGTTTTGTCTTCATCTTGGCATTGAATCTGTTGTGTACGTTGTTTCCAATACACCGGGTCATTGACTCCGGTGATTTCATGACTGATGACCGAGAAGGGAAGTGGTCGATATACACATACGACTTGACCACGTTTGGGGTATAGAACTGTTTTTCGGATGGACGCGGATGGATTTCAATGCTGTGTATAGCTTCATGGAAAGGGACGGGTTTTGGGATATGCTCCCCTTATGTGTATATTTTATCCCTGCATTCTTTACAGCAGTTGCACCTTTCAATTCAATGCAGATGGTCGGCCTAGAGGTTGCAATTTCGCTCTCCGGGTTTGATTTGACATCGCCGCGGCAATACTCCGATGGCCTTTTGGTCTACCAATCAATGTAGCCATGAACCTCAATTGCCTTCGGCGCAAGGTGTGGACGATAATTCGCCGATAATACTTCAATGGCTAGCCTCTTATATGTTGAAACAGACCAGCGATATAACCTACAGTCTGCAAGAAGTGTACGTCCAAATTGGGCAATCAGCTAATCCCCGATCGCCTATCAACACGTGACTTTCCCGCTCGGCTTCCCCGACGGCGAATTGGTGACTTCTAGCAGCTCATTTCTTTCTCTTCTTCTCTTTTCTTTTGTCAATTCAATTCTTCAGCATTGATTCACCATGTCAAGCGTCCGTATTCTCACACGAGGTGTTGACCTCGCCGCCGCGAGGGCCGCTACCCTTAACCTTCCCCGCGCCTCTATCGGCTCCACCGTACTTCGGCGAGAGCTCTCCTCCGCGGCTATCGTACGACCAACAGTCCGTCGATCATTGAAAGCCAATGCACTAGTCACAGACGTAGCTTCACGTGCTGCGAACCAGGCCGTGCGGTATGCCTCTAGCTCCAGCGAGCCCCTCAGCAAGACACAGCTCTATGACTTGCACCTGGAGCACGGTGCTAAGATGGTGCCCTTTGCCGGGTTCGACATGCCTTTGCAGTACGCGGACCTGAGCCATGTGGAAAGCCACATGTGGACTCGCGAGAAGGCCAGTCTTTTCGATGTTAGCCACATGTAAGTGAATCATCTCCGAGCCAAAACAAACCGCAATGGCTAACCAAGTTCCTCACCTAGGGTTCAGCATCAACTCAGCGGCCCCGGAGCCATTGATCTCCTGAAGAAGGTGACTCCTTCGTCAGTAGACAAGTTAGCTCCGAACAGCTCTACCCTCTCCTGCCTCCTTGAAGAAGGCACCGGTGGTATTGTCGACGACTGCGTTATCACCCGCCGCGGCGAAGACAGCTTCTACTTCGTTACGAACGCCGGCCGCCGCGCAGAGGATTTGGCCTTTCTGAGCGCCGAGATCGACGCCTACCGCTCCAAGCACGGAGCCGACAGCATCAAGTGGGAGATCCTCGCTGACCGCGCGCTGGTCGCGCTGCAAGGACCCCTCGCCGCCTCTGTCCTTCAACCCCTCATCAACACCGCAAACACTCCCTCCTCCGAAACCGACCTGAGCACCCTCTACTTCGGCAATTGCCGCGAGCTGTACCTCACCCTCCCAGACGGCAGCGCAACTGCACACCCACTCCTCATCTCCCGCACCGGCTACACCGGCGAAGACGGCTTCGAGATCTCCATCCCGACCTCCGGCGCCCCATCCCTACCCCGACAAGTCACCGAGCTCCTTCTCACCGACAGCAGCAAATCTCGTCTCGCCGGTCTGGCAGCCCGTGACTCCCTCCGTCTCGAGGCAGGCATGTGTCTCTACGGACACGACATCACCACTGCGCAAACCCCGCCCGCCGCAGCCCTTGGCTGGATCGTCGGCCGTGATCGTCGCGATCCTGTATCTGCTACCTTCAACGGCGCTTCCGTTATCCTCTCCCAACTCGCCAGCCCGAAGACTATCCCCCAGCGCCGCGTCGGATTAACTGTTGAGAAGGGGCCCCCAGCTCGCGAGGGCGCTCTCGTCCTTGATATCTCTGACCCGGCGAATCCTGTCGAAGTCGGCGTTATCACTTCCGGCCTGCCCAGTCCGTCGCTTGGCGGTGCCAATATTGCTATGGGGTATGTCAACCAAGGGCTTCACAAAAAGGGTACCGAGCTGGCTGTTAAGGTCCGCAATAAGGTCCGCAAGGCTACTGTCGTCGGTATGCCTTGGATTACCAGCAAGTTCCACCGTCCTCCTCAGTAGAGGGTAGAAGGTGTCGACAACTCCTCTAATTTTATATTGGTTTTGTTCCTTTCTTAAATGCAGGGACTCATGCGAAATACTAGCGTTTTGATTTATTATTTGGCCTTTGTATATATGTTTCCGATCTTATGACTGATATTCATCACATCAAAATATTCTTTTCTTTCTTGTCATAGTTCACACAAATTTGTATCATGACTATCATTTTTCAATGCCTACAGAGTCACAATCAACCTACCAAGTCAACATGATTATCAAGATGCAAAGCACCAAGCTGCCCACTTTCAACAACACTCTCCCACCTACGATAATTCACATCCTCATCCCCACCACCACTCCCAGCCTCCGGCGCCAAAGAAGGCGGTAAATCCTCCAGTCCAGTCCCCCAAGCACTCTCCTCCTTCCCAAGAACAAGAACCAACTCCCTCCCCTCAGCGAAGAAATCATGCCCAATCCAATTCCGCGTATAAGGCACGCCATCCAGGGTCGCAGACTGAATAAAGCCATTCCCACCCGCGGCAGCGCCAGTAGCATTAGCCGTGTTATACTCCGCCCAATTCACCGTGCGCAGCGTTGCCGTTTTCCCCGTCAGCGGGGAGACAATACTGACAGACTCGAAGAACGGCACTGTGAGGAGGTACACGCTCTGTCCTGGGTTCGGGAATAGTCCCATCATCGCCATGGCGACGAACGAGCCCATGGCGCCTGAGTCGTCGTTGCCTGGGAGTCCGGCTGGCGTTGGCGAGAAGTAGTCTGGGATGTAGGCGCGCACGCGGGAGGTGGATTTTGCTGGACGGCCGGCGTAGTGGTATTGGAAGACGGTTAGGAAGGCGGGCTCGTTGCCGATGTAGGTTATGTTTCGGTCGTGGAGGTAGTCGAGGCGGGTGACGAAGTTTGTGGGGCCGCCGAGAAGGGTTATTAGGGTTTGCATGTCGTGGGGGACGAAGCTGGGATAGTTAGAAGGGGTGGGAATAAAGGTCTTCATTTGTTGGGGGAAGCGGGCTTACAATTGATACTCCCAGATGCTGGATTCGAAGGTTTCGCCCGCGGTGTTTTGCAGTGAGCAGGCGTGTCCGCTCTCGTCGATGTTCGAGCACGCGAGGGGATCTTGGACGCCCCATGTTCCATTAATATGCTTTGGCTGGAAGAAACCAGTGAAGCCAGTGTCCCTTCCTCTCCAGAAAGAGGCCTGGTTTGGTTTGAATAAGTTTTGCCAGTATCGTGATCTTTTCTCGTACCGCTCTGCATCGGCCGTCTTGTTCATGCCTCGAGCCATTTGCGCGATGGCGAAGTCGTTGTAGGAATACTCGAGTGTGCGTGAGACGCTGCGCGTCATTGTGCCGAACCCTTCGTAGTCGAAGTCTTCCACAGGGATATAATGTAACTCTTTCCAGCTGCGTAGACCGCCACGGCCTTCGCTGGACCAGTCGTACGGTTCCTCCTCAGCGTCCTTTTGCACAGCTGCATACCCGGCATCCCAATCAATGCCATCTCTGAGACCTTTCAGGTAGACATCTGCCAGGACATTGTCGGCATTAGAACCGCCTTGTGTATATCCTTTGCATAGTGACATGCGGCAGTCCGGCAGCCAGCCTAGGTGGCGCTGGGTATCGATGAGTGATCGCACCATTTGCATTACCGAGGAAGGATCGAAGATAGTGAGGAATGGGATCTGGGAACGGAAAGAATCCCAAAGACAATAGAACGAATCAAAGTAAGGCTCACTGCTCTGCCAGAGCGGGTTCTCGCCTGTGTAGTTCTGGGGGTTGATCATAGTCCGATAGATTCCACTGTAGAAATTGGACAGAACGGATGAATCGATGTTTGTTCGTGAGACACGGATCGGGCGCATCTTCTCGGTCCATTTTTCGACTGCTATCTGGTGGGTTGCGTTGAAGTCAAAGTTTGGAATCTCAGACTCTGCATGAGCGCACGCTTGCTCTGTGCTCATGAAGCTGACGCCAACTCGAGCGAGGACCGTGTTGTCTGCGGCGGACTCAAAGCGGACAAATCCACCACCCTACGGAATGTCAATCCTTGTCTCTATATAAAAGAAAGGGTTTCGACTCACTGGAAGCGGGTACCCATTGATACTGCGGGAGATTTTCAAATCATGAACATCAGCACTGGCACGAGAATTGACAAAGATGCCACTATCTCGCTGGGCTGCAGGGCTTTTGAAGTCCGCACAGAAATGTAACATGTACGATCCCGATCCAAAGCTAGGAGCGAACCTCGCATCACCGGTCATTCGATTTGTTGTGTTATCCACCGAGATAGTCGCATTGTCCTGGCGGGAGTTCGACAGATCGGTAAGGTCCAGCAAAATCAATGGACTGGTGGTGTTATCACTTGGGAACTGGAAGCGAAACAGAGACGTATGGTGCGCAGTTGTCATATCAACTCGGACCCCTGATGCCAGCTCTATAGCAAAGTATCCCGGACGCGCCTGCACGGAGTCGGGCTTATACTTCGTTTTCCGTTGGTTCTTCGGATAGACACAGCCATTGACATCATCGCCGGCGCATTTTGCATAGGGAAAGAGAGGGAAATTCCCTAACGAAGGACTGCCGCCAGTGCCGGAGTCGTGCATGCTGGAGAATCCGGTGACGCTGCCGCCCTCGTGGGCGAAACCTCCTTGGTTGCTTTCTGAGTCTGTATCGGCGACGGCTTTCGCCATGCCGTATGGAAGCGAGGCTCCTGGAAACACATTTCCTGTGGAGAATTGGTCAGTAGCATGAATTTGACTGATAATTTGACTGATTTAGCTGTTGAACTTACCTCCGTTGGCACTACCAATCAAGGGATTGATGTATTGTAGAACATCATAATCTTCCAATAGAGGGGTGTCTGCGGCATTAACTAGGATGCGACTGGTTGAAAATAACGACAGTAACAAATATGGTAGCATGATCTAGGTTGAATAAAGATGATCGACGCGTCGGAAAGGCTAGTATTTAGGTAACCCTTCATCCGCAACTGCCTGGAATGCGTGCCCCTGGCGATCCCTGTCTGTTACATTACATTATGCATATTCCCGTATGTGGATCCGGGGATAGGCTCTCATGTTTTCGAGAGTATGTAGTGCAAGGATGTACTGGAGGTTGATTGGTGAGACTCGTGTGTCCAGAACGTTAGGATTGAGAAACAGTCCAAAACAAGCGAGATTAATCTAGTAAGACTTTGCCGCAATAGGCTTCATGAGTATTCATCAAAAGCCTAATTTCTTGCAAGCATACTCAAAGGAAGAAAGATAGCATATTTCGCCAAAGGTAGGTCTCATTCTGGCAAAAGAATAAGACAGAAAGCACCGTGTCTTCACCTGGCTATGCCGATTTATCAAGTAAAGAGAGCTATATATATATATATAGGCCGCATCCACCATCGTGTTTCGCCATATTCTTCTTTTGTATCCCCGGATACCGGCTTCCACGACAACATTTATAGCAATTTGTCCGACCTTGCCATACCAAACAGCGTAACTCGGACTCCCGGTTAGCATCTGTTCTCTTTAAGCTTTCTCGGGGTATGATCATAGCTTAGTGCTTTCCTCCTTCGTCAACTGCATTGGCGGGACACCGGTATCGTGTTCCCAAACCAACTTGTCAATGCGCCCATTGTCGTTGCATTCAAACACGGCTTTCCAGAAAGGTGCCGCTTGGTCCCAGCCCACCCAGCGGCCACGTCTAGATAACTCATTCCGTGGAAGTAACCAAGTGAAGGTGTCATCTTCATAGTGTTCAAGTTGGAACTTTTCTGACTCCAGCCCTTGCAGCCTCCAGTAAAGCTTGTTGTCCACCAAATTCACAACAATCTTGAACACATTGATATTATCCCAGTAAGTACCGACATACTCCTCTAGTGCTCTAGGTGATGTTCCGTTCTTTCGAGCCGAGCCTAGCTCTCCCACCAGTGCTGGATACCACTTCAAGCTCTCAGCGACCGAGATGTGGGCTGCTTCGATGTAATCATTTCTCTCTGATTCTGGAACCTCGAGCAGCTCTTCAAGGATGAGTTGGCCAACCCAGTCAGGAACATCATTTAGGGCCAAAGAGTTAGACAGTACAACAATAACACTGTCAGTGTCTGGAAGTAGAATCACAATTGCGAGGGCGCCAGGTAGGCTGCCCTGGTGGAAGAGAATGAGCTGTGAGGGAACGCCTTTCCCAACGGTAGGCATGCCATTGGACATCAGACCAGGATTGATTCCGATATGACCTAGCCGATTGGGAAGCTGGGCTCTGACCCATCCGAGTGCGTATGATAGCTCGTTCCTCGAGGGTGGATCCATAGGAATTTTGGCGGAAGTGAGATGAGAAACTTGTTTGAAGGGAGAGTCTTTGGTCGCTCCCTTCCCGGTGATGAATTGATCTTCAAAGCTAGCGGTGAACGTTTTGTATAACTCCAAAAGATCACGGATACAGGACCACGCGCCACCACTTGGTCCACCAAACCAATCTTGGCCTCCCTTAGGGCAAGGAATAGGAGTAGTGGATCCATCATCAAGTGCGTTGTAGCACTGAGTGACATTTTGGGTGCCCGGAGGTGGAGATTTAAGGTAGGTTCGATCCAAGCCGAGAGGATCGAGAATACGGCTCTGTACAAACTCAAACCACGAAATGCCACTGACTTCCTCGATGACATAACCTGCAAGGTTATATTGAAGATTGTTATAGGACATTCCTGTCCGGAACGGAAGAACCCGCGGCTGTGAATTGATGTATTTCAGTCCATCCTTTCCTGGAATGAGAACGTTGTTCTCGGTACCGAGGACCACATTACCAGCCCAAGCCATGCCTGATCGATGAGATAGGATGTCCGTGATAGTCAAGTGATTCTGCAGCGTCTCGTCGCTTGAATCAAAGGATGGAAGAACGTCCTTCACTAGTGTATCCCAGGTGAGTTTACCCTCGTCGACAAGAATCGCCATCGCAGAGGCAGTCAAAGCCTTTGTCAACGAACATATGGGAAATATTGTTTCCTCAGTGACGGGTAGACCAGCTGCTGTGTCTCGGACGCCAAAACTTGACTCGTAAACAGTGTTTCCGCTCGACATGACTGCGAGCGAGAGCCCTGGGGTCCCGCCGATGCGCATCAAATCTTCGATGGTGGACCGCAAGCGATCCAGTCGTTCCGGGAGTTCTGCCATTCTGAATGCTGCTCGGGATAATGCGACCGTTACGGAGTAGAGTGAGGAGGTCGACTAAGATAGATTGTGTAGAGGGGGTGCAATCGCGACTATGAAATGATTGGCTATTCCTATAGTTATACCCGCTTTTCCCACCACCCTACAATACAACATAGTCTCCTTATCAAGTCAGCTGATCTGATACCATGAAGCTATTTAGAGATTACATGATCACCTGATCTGTCACTATGAAGTAATTGAAATTAATTCTACCACCATTAATGATAGAGATAATTTAACTCTGGAAATGACAATTGAATGCTGGATGGTAGACAATATATAATTGATTAAATGCGACCGGTATTTAATGCTAGCTATAGCTTGATTGTACAAAGAAGTTGAGGTAAGGACTCAGCGGGGTGTGGCAGTTTTCAACAACTACCAGCGCGGGACAGGGGAATACGAGAGAATCACCAATCAGAATGCGACAAAGTTCGAGCATAGAAAAGGAACACCGGGGGGGGGGGGGGGGAAATGAAACAGTCCACCCCTCCCAGTATCCAAAACAAACACATTTTTAAATAAATAAAATAA